AGCTCTTTAGCTTATTTGGCAAGGCCCTGACCAGGCTAATGTAACTTTGAAGTTTGCTCTGCGTTTAGTTCTTAAATATTATGCATCTGTGGAGTTCTTACATAGCAATGGATATGCTGTTCAAGGTTACAGAGGTTTTTTCCTCTTTGTTTTTTTTATTCAGCTTTTTTCAAAAATACCTACAGTTTTTCATTCCACTAATACATCCTTGTTGAACTGCATGTAGCTGTTACAGTGCTAAGATGCAATGCTAATGTCATTAATGTTTTTTTGTTTGTTCTTTTCTTTTCCTATAGGGGAGAGCATTTTAGTTTGCAAGCCCTCAGAAAGATCAAAAGGCACTGCTCTACTTCAGGGATCTCTCAAGCCTGTTTGCAGTTGTTTGCTTAGAAGAGAAGGGGAAGGCGTTGCTTCTAGCATGAAAAGAGCAATACTTGAGGTACAGGACATGTGGAGAGGGATTAGAACTGTGTTTGCGCTCTTGAAATTGTAGGATGGAGTTTTTTTGTGACACCATCAAATGTTTTCTCTGTATTTTCCTCTTATTCTGTTTTCTCCCTTGTCAACCCAAGCAGCTTCAGAAGAAAATTACTCGGGTCTGCCAGTGTGCTTCAGTATTTAGCATTTTGTTTGGTATGTTTCAGTCTCTGCTTGTTGCAGATTAGGACGTGAGCACGCTCAAACAAGGGTTACTAAGCTTTGCTTTTGCATTTAGATATACTCAAACTGCAGGCAGAAATAAGTGTAATACTTAAATTTTGGTGAGCAAACAGGTAAGGTACCCAATTCACTCCCTCTAGCCTCCCCTCCTGTGTAGGGTTCCTACAGGAGTGAAAAGGACCAAAAGGGTGTTGTTCCACATAAGTGAGCCTATCTCCTTTTCCAAAGTTGCTTGTGGGCTTGAGCTGAGCGTGGACTTTCTTAAATATGGTTCATTTGCTGTACTACTCCTACTGTCTTGTGAAAGCTGCTGTGGTACTTAGGACTTGGTTGTGATTCCATAGATTTTGAATTTTTAGCAGACCAATGGAATTTCTAAATGCGTTTTTCTACATAAGAGCTGTCTAAAAGATGGTGTTGCTTTATAACATGAAAAAAATCCATTGAAACCATGAAAGTAAGTTTTTAGTTAAAGATTTTGCTATCTCAGAGAAGACATACACATGGAAATGACTCACAAGGAAAAAGCAGTTATGTGAAAAACAAAACTAAAACAAAATCCAAGGGAAAAAAGATCACTCAATCAGGAAAACAGTGATGGGGTATAGCATTCATATTTATTGAGAGAAAACTTTAGTATGCTGAAAAGCCTTAGGAGAACTCCTCCTTCCTTTTTTGCTTTCTGTCTTCAGAAAATTGCAGTCTATGTTCTAACCTTTTAAAAATATTTCACAGTGTTGGCAAAGCAAAGTGCCTAGGGCTAGTCTCAAATCTTAATTGCTACTGTTTGTATATCTGCTATCAAAATAATATTTTATAATTCATTCCTTCCTGTAGCTTAGTCCTCTTACTTCTTCCTAAGGTGTCTAACTTGTTGCCAAGAAATGTCCTTAAAGGTTGGCAGTTACTTTGCCTCATAGTTCTCCTCTCGTACTGGTTCTTTAAAACTTAGATAGCTGATGGATCAATCTTTTTGATTCTCTGACCCAATACTCCATCCTACTGCTTCTCTGGCAATAACATGTAGTTTTCTTCAACAGATCATAGCTGGGGGAGTGGCCAGCACTCCAGATGATGTGCAGACCTACGCTTCTTGCACTCTTCTTGCATCCAGCTTGAAGGAAAGCAAGTGGGGAAATGAGAAAGCACAAGACAAAGTGCAGACTGGACCTATTGAGGCTTGTGTGGCATGGTTGCTGGAAAATGAATTCATTCAGGTCCTGGAATCTGACAGTGATGTGAAAGGTAATGTTGGTGTTCTCAGTGATTGCAGTTAGCAGTTTTGAATCAGTAAATCTTTTGCAGCTGGGTAGATGTTAATTTAACTTTATAATAAGGACTTCTGTGCATTTTTGGTTTTATTTTAAAGAATTGTGTGTATCAAGAACTTCTTAGCATTCTGGAGGTTGTCTTTATACCTGCTTTAACACTTTTTGCATGCACTTGTTCTTCTTGGAAGGCCTCTCTTTGCCCATCACCTCTAAGACTGATGCATCCTAGTCTACAAATTCCCAAACTATGTTTAAACAAGGCATACTTTTACTACAGGATTTGTGTACATTAACTGTCAACTACGATTTTTGTCTTTCTGAAGAAAAAAAGAGTCTGTTCTAAGAGTGCAAGTCTCTTCTAAAATTGCTTGGTGTACATGGTTGCCCTTTTTCCTGATTTTGGCTATTGTCTTAAAATGGCTAAGAATGAGCCTCTTGCAGTAACAGTAAGAATCCCCATTACAGGTTAATTTGTGTCTCTTTAAGAAAAGATGACAGGAGATATTTGGCATTCCTAAGAAAGAAATACTCAAAATGGTAACTCCTAGGCAGGATGGCAGATGGGATTCCACTGTTTTTTTCTTCAAATAGTTATCACAACTGTTAGTGTGAGTAATTAGAAATATTCAAGCTTGTGATGTGGCCTCTGAAAAAGACTAGTTTAGACTGAGGCAAGTCTAAACCTTTTATTGTTTCAATTTTCCTGTCTTCAGAATGGAGAAATACACTATTTCTTCTTGAAAAAGCAGTTGGGAAAAGTTAGTAGAATTGATATCTATAAAGTGCATTGCAACCTGAAAATGAGATATAAACTTGCACTGAAGTGTTTCTGTGGTGATTTGTTTTGTTTTATTTTGTTTTTGTTTTTTTTTTTTAACAGCAAAGGTTTATCATGCAACACATCTTGGCTCAGCTACTCTTTCCTCTTCTCTTTCACCAACTGAAGCTATGGAAATCTTTGCTGACCTGCAACGAGCTATGAAAAGCTTTGTTCTGGAGAATGATCTGCATATTGTCTATTTGGTAGGTTCCTCGTTCAATGTTTTGTATTTTGTACTGCCAAAACTAAGGAAAGGAGAGAAAGCACAATGCAGAGTTCTTGTGGGCTCCATGAAAATAGCAGTTTCTTTATGGTTTGCTTAGCTCATCCTTCATGAAGAAAAGAATTGAATGTTCTTCAGAACTAGTCTGTTCCCATAGTGTCTGTTGTGTAGGCAGGTGCTGCATGTCCATCCCATTGTTGTCACTCCTGACTTCAAAAGATTTCAGAACTTTAAAAGTTTTAGGTGTAGGATAATGGTAATTTTTCTGAGACTTGAAGCTGAAACAAATTGGTTTTGTTGTGTTTGGGATCAGCAGGCTGCATCTCAGATTACTTTTGGAGGCTCAGAAAACTTTTGCGGTTTTAACATCTGTTTTGCCTACAAAAACCCTCTGAGAACTGCACTGCGTTCTTCCTGTGGGTGTGCCTTTCTTCGGTTCAGTAATGGTGAAATTAATTTCTGATTTAGTTGACTTGCCTGGCGATGCTGCCAGTGTGATAAATCTTTTGATGGGAAAGTGTCCCAAAGTTTGTTAAGATTTATGTGCAGGTACACTTAAAAAGCTAAGCAACGCTATTTAAGACCTTCGGAGAGGAAGCCATGAACCTGTGAAGGTTAGTGAGGCAACAAGATGGAGTTGCAGTGAACATCTTAGGATTTACAGCTGCCAGAGGCCGATCATGCAATCATCATCTGAAATTTGACAGTTGTCTTTAGCCTCCTTAAGTATAGAGTGTGTTCTCTTTACGAGGAAAAATTTGGGCATCTTGTCTGAGAGAAAAAGTTCACTCCAAGGAGAATATGCTTGTGGGTACAGAAGTTCTTGAGCTGGGGAATGGGGGAGGCAAGAGACTGAGGGTGACTGTCTCTGCTTGCTGTGTTAATTAACCTAGTTATTGGCTGATACTGATCGATTTTGGGTTTTTTATCTACTAGTGTGCCAGATGTACCCATATCTCTGTTGTAGAGGACCACATAATATTTCTTCTATTTCTAATAGGCAAAGTCGACGATTTTGTGTGATGCACCAGTGATTTTTTTCCCTGTTTGCATCTCCAAAACAGAAAAAAGGGATGAATTTTGTTTGTGTTCTTGGGTAGGGACAGTGATGGCGATATATTTTTTTTTACCCTGTAGTTTTTAATTGCAGCAACTTGTCTAATGTTATTTTAAATATCAAATACACTGTTGAACAAAATGTTCTTGAGATGATTCTCTTCCATTAAGCTAGCCTAAAACAATTTCTTGCAAGTCTGTTCATTTTCAGGGCCAAAGGTTTGTTTAGTTTTGGTGGCTACTTTTTTTTTAAAAGAATTATTCTCCATGTGTTCCTTATGGGCTACAGGGAAATTATCTGCTATAATGCTTCTTAATTCTCTTAGGCTTGAATCTTTTACTTGTACAAGTATGAGACTGAATTCCAAGACTTTGTATTTTAGGAAAGTTGATTAAAACAAATAAGTATTTGTTAGGCTAGAAAAAGAGTTTTCTTTAAAGAAAAAACCCAACCATGTAACAAAAAAAGACAATCCGCCACCTTAATGACTCTTGTTCTTCTCAGCAGATGAAGGGGTATGGGTGATTTACAGCTACGTAGGCATCTGGTATTCTGTGTTATGTTAAATGCTCCCCAACAACTTTTAGTTATTTCAAAATAACCTTGCAGTATATTGGTACAGGTATGAAGACATTTTGTCTTCTCACACTGAAACTGACTCTGTGCTGACTGAATGATAACAGAATTGGGTTTCTGTCTAAAAGTGTTTGAATGTTCTGGATGGCTTTTTTGTTAGTGTTAATAAAAGATGAGGTTTCTTGTACTCCAGGTAAACGAAAGCTCCAGCAAGTTCTGGCAAAATCTGTGTTCCCTTCTGCTTTATCAGATGCCATGGCAGTGGTTAGTATGGTTGCTAGTGGTTTTAAGAGGCTGATAGATATCTGTCAGTTTTGTTAACAAAAGAATAAAGTTTTCTTTTCTTAAAGGAGAATAAAGATGCAGCTTAAAAATCTTCTAGTGCTTGGATTTAGGGAGTAATCTGACAAAGATCCCAAGTTGTTTAATCATTAGAGTACCTGTATGAATCAGATCTCATCAGTACAAATATTAAAAAAAACTAGGTTAGAAGAGCTTTTACTTTCTTCAGGGTACATGGTTATGACTCAGTGCCTCTAAGTAGTGCGTAGGATGCTCTAACCACATTCCCTAGGTTGTATTTTTGTTTACCCAGAGCTCTGTTCTGTTTGTTTCTCTGAAATAGTTTTTTGTATTGTCTTATTTTCTTTAGGTCACCCCAGTGTATGAGGAGTGGACCACAATTGATTGGTACCAGTTTTTCTGCTTATGGGAGAAGCTGCCTGCCTCAATGAAACGTGTAGCTGAGCTGGTGGGGATTGAAGAAGGCTTTCTTGCTCGCTCTGTAAAGGGCAAAATCATAGCTAAAACAGAGAAACAGCACAGACAAATGGCCATCCACAAAAGGTAGCCACAAATGGGTGTGAATGTGCAAAGACTAGAGGTTATAACATGTGGAGTAGACAGGTTCTGCGTCTGTTTTCAGTAACTGGCTCTCTTTCTGGGTGAGCTGATAGCTCAGAGAATGTGGACCTGGTCTGCTCTGGACTGAGAACACTGCTGGCGCAAGCTGTTTGTGCTGGTGCTTTTGGAAGCCATCTCTTTCTTTTGCAGGCAATGCTATAGCACCATTCTGTCCTATGCTATCACAGTGCATTTTGCCATGTACACTTATGTGCCCTGGATGATGATTTTATTTCGGTGTGTACTTCTTCTACAGGTTTTTCACCAGTCTTGCCCTTCTGGATTTAATCAGTGAGGTTCCCTTAAAGGATATGACCAAGAAATATGGCTGTAGTCGTGGCCAGCTTCAATCCTTGCAACAGTCTGCTGCCACCTATGCAGGTGAGTTGTCCCCCAGGAGTCTTAGGCTAGTCTGTTTTCTTTCCTTCCAGATATGGGGATAAGACAGCCACAGGGTGGTACTAACAACAGTCAGTCTTGTAAACCACTTCCAGCTTTATAGCTTAATCTGTGGTTGCCCTTGCTTTGAGGTGGAACCACAGAGTGTGCTGTGGGAAGGGGGCCAGCTGAGTGGAATCAGGCAGTGCTGTAGCATGCTGGGGTGTGTGGAAATTATCTGTGTACTCTATGGGAATGTAGTTTGTTCAGTTCTAAGTATGGAAATATGTACAAGTCCATTCTGAAGCTTTACTTTATCAGGAAAGAGTATCTTTCAGCATGGGTGAAGTTTGGGGTCTCTAAGGCTTAGCATAGCTTTCTCCCGGTTGCCAAGTTAAAAGGCCAGAAAGTATAAGTTTATACTTCTCAAAAGAGAGTGAGTAGTTTCTGGGTTATTTATCACCAGATAACAAGAGGTCAGATAGCTGTCACCTTTAACTTAACTTCCTTAAGAGGGCTGTGTAGGAGTAGAAGTAACAGCCCACCATGTGACTGAGATTTTTTTTTTTTTCTATTGCCTTAGTCCTCCATTACTCCATAAGTGGGTCTTCAATTTTTAAGGCAGTTTTAGCTCAACTTGTGAAACCTTATGTGTGGGTTGCAGCATGAGTCAAAGCCCCAAAATGAAAAGGTCACGCCAACTGATGCAGAGTAGTTTAAATTAATTCTGGTAGTATAAATAACTTCTTGTTGTAGCAGTTTCATAATTCTCTATTCCCAGTGTTAATAATTTTCACAAAAGTAATTTGGGAAGTAAAAGGAACTGTTGACATGACACATAGTTAAGAAATATGATAAAAGTTGTATTCTATAATCACTGTAAAAATAGTGAGGGATGCTGTGCCTTTCAGTTATTTTCATATTCTGTAGATGCAATCTGTGAGTAAGAAACTGTCTTTTCCCTGCTCTTTTCCTCCTCCCATGTGCTGGGGGCTGCAACTGTAACCTTTATCATAGGCTTTGTTACCTCCTGTGATGCTCTCAGTAACTGAAGTTCTGCAGGCCAAGTTCTGCTCTTATGAACATCAGTACTGGCTTTTCTCAAAGAACCGTGGCTTCTCTTTTTGCCTCTCGTCACTGCTTTTTCTGTCTTATTTTCGTCAGTGTGTTTGGTTCATATGAATCCTGTTACAGGATATGTATGTGCTTCACACTCTCAAGATTAGCGTCTTTGAAAAAGCAGTGTCATTCAGAGTTTCTGCCTCACTGATAAACTAGATCAGAATTCTGTGGGATCAGCTCCTAGTTGTAGTTATAATAAAATGAGTTAGTTTCTTTAAGTAATAGGAAGGTGAGAAATGTAAAGTGAATGCTAATTCAGATGAGGGGTGAAAAATGGATCCAGCTTAATAGAACTGGAGCTGGAGTTAAGACATTGATGTACCTTCTGTGTTCCAGGGATGGTAACGGTTTTCTGTAATCGACTGGGCTGGCACAACATGGAGCTGTTGCTCTCTCAGTTCCAGAGCCGCCTCACTTTTGGGGTTCATAGGGAGCTTTGTGACCTGGTACGAGTGTCTCTGCTGAATGCTCAGCGTGCTAGGATGCTTTACAATGCTGGCTTTGTCACAGTGGCTGATCTTGCTAAAGCCAGTCCTGATGATGTGGCAACTGCTCTGAAGAATTCAGTACCATTCAAAAGGTGAGAAATCAGTAAATCCAGAAGTCAAGTAAAAGAGTTTGTTTGTAAGGTGAAGGATTACAGGATGAAACCTGTAATAAAATACGTCAAGCTTTTGGGACTTGGTGCCAACTGTTAGTTAGAAATTACTTGTAAGTGACTGTTACTGATCATAGTCATTCCATGACTGTTTTGAAATGAATAGAAGCATCTTTTATTTGCAGCATAAGTTTGTGAGACCTACAGTTTCTTCTTACTCCTCTTTTCAATGCACTGTTTAGTCCTGGGTGAATTGTTAATGCTTTCTGGAGACTTTTTTCTGCCTCTAAAAGGCATCTCCACTGTGCATTCAAGTGAGTTGATGATTTATTACTGTACATCATCTGAGATTCTCTTGTGATTTTCATGTTAGTGCAATGACAAGCTTTCTTCATCAAGTACCTGTTGGACTGTGCCATGATACCGGTCTGGTTCATGCTCCTGGAGTTTCCTTTCTTTGGAAAACAGTGCATGGATGAGGATTGATTCAGATCTGGATCTTGCCCTAGTAGGGGGTTGGGACTCAGCTGGGGTACATGTTGGGACACAGAAACCTGGGAATACTTCTGGGGTATGCAGCCAGTAATATCTTTCATCGACATCAATTTACATATAGAAAATTGAAAGTTATTTCCTGTTAAGTGCATTATATATTTTGGATATAGTGCTTCTGTGAAGGTGTGAAGCTAATTGAAATCAGAGTGTGGCAGAATAGTGCCTGCTTCTTGTGTTGTTTGTTGTTTTCTGCATGAATGTTTACATCTGTCTGTTACCTTTTCCATAGTGTTCGTAGGGCTGTGGATGAAGATGAAGAATCAGCAGAGGAGCGTCGAACTGTGCGCAGCATCTGGATGGCTGGAATGAAAGGCTTAACTGAAGGAGAAGCAGCTTCCCTCATTGTGGAGGAAGCCAGGGGACTTCTCCAGCAGGATTTGGCACTGATGGGAGTGCAATGGAACCCAGAATCTTTTCTCGAGACTGATACATCCTCTACGATCAGCAGCGAGTCAGAACTGGAAGACAGACTACAAAGATCAAGTGACGAGCAGTCTTCTGAGTCTTCGAGGTTGTTAAACAAAAAAGGCTGCAGAGTTCAACATTGTAAAGGCCTTGGTTCTCAGACTGGAAAGTTATCAAATATTAAAAAGGGATATAAAAGGCAACTAAGTGGTAGTACGGAGAACTCCAGATTTGAGAGTGAAGTCTCAGGCAATGATGATATTGTGTACAGTGCTAGAAAACGGCCAAATATGTGCAGAGATGATCAAAACTTAGAAGGAATTTCTCTGGTCAAAACCAAGATGGATTCCAGGAAAGCAATTCCAGAACTCCCTAATGAACAAGGGAAAACACCAATATTGAGAACAAAGACTTCAGCATCTAGATTGATAAAAAGTACGGACGTGCATTTAAACCGAACTAGAAACAAAAATACTGCTTCAAAACCGCAGAGGTCACTTCTTGAAGATTCAAATATGCTTAGCATAGATGTGCAAAAGCCTCCTGCTTTCCACCCCACTATCTCTACAGATAATTTTTTTTCAGAGCAAAATAATAAGGAATTTATAGAAATAGGGTCTGTAACTCATAAAGTCTCAAATTCTTTACTGATGGGGAAAATTAATTTTGGGAGGAAAGATAAAATGGAAGGATTACTTACAGAGCCTACCACCACTAATGAAGGCACGCCTAAGGGGAGAGCATGTTTCCAGGCACCTGTTACATTGCAGCGTACTCCACACACTGATGTGGAGACACATAATATTATAGGAAGTCTAGTAATACCTGGTAGGGCTAGGACACAGACAAATGAAAATACTGATGATAAGCAGAATAAAATTAATAAAATGCAAACAGATGCGAGCTGGGCTCAGGCAATGATTGGTAGGCAGCAGATGGCTTTAGACACAGATCATTGTAATGTAACTGCTAGCTGCTCTGGGTGTGGAGATGTCCATTGTGGCAGCAGGATACAGAAGCCTGTGCATTTTTGTCTTGGTAAGGATAAATCCTGCCATATTCAGATTCAGAATGGTGGCAAAAATGGGAGCGAAAAGCCCAATGGAATATTGTTACGAGTTGGCGCGCTACAGAAAGCCAACAGTCATCCTGAGGGTTTTCTGAAAGACTCTCTGGTAAAATCCAGAGGTGTTTGCAATGCAGATGGTGTTCAGAGAGGTCCACCCTCTGATCTGTTTTCTGACTCCAGAGACTTTGAAGAGAGCTTCCAGTTGGATACTCAAACGGAGATGATAATAAAACAGGAGGGAGCATCTGGAATCACAGGACAGCAGGGAATACAAGGTTCAGAGCTGGCAGCAATAGCACAGCAGGAAATCTCCAAGAAGCTAAGCACTTCATGCACTGAGAATGCTACTGATGAAAAGCTGGCTGCAACAGTCAGGAAACTGGGCTTATCAAGTCTTATCACAACAAATAACATTACAAAAAACACAGCTCAGCACTGCAGTAATAAAGTTTTGGAGTCTGGAGGCCTTAATTTACAGCCCGTGGCGAAGGAAATAGAATCTGCACCTTGCCTTAAAGATAGCGATTTCTCAGTGACTGACTCCCAGCTACACAGTTTTCTACAAGATTACCACACCCAAAATTCAGTGAAAGGGGAAAGCGTATCTAAAGACCTCAATAAAGCAACCTCCGCTTTTGGTAGGGACCACATTGTACAAGTAGAATGCCACCCTGTCCCTGAAACAAGCCTGAATATGAGTGATAGCTTGCTATTTGATGATAGCTTCAGTAATGTCAGCGACTTTGCAGCTGTTCACATCACGGAAGCTGACAGAAAGGACACTGTGGAGGAGCAAGAGGCTTTGCTTCCTCCAGATGGTCTTTCACAGAACCTAAGGCCTGTTCAGAGTAAGTTTGATGTCAATGGCAATCAGAAAGAGCATGAGGATCCTGCACAGTGTAACAACGTGTCTCTAGCATTCTCTGATCTAATAGCTGAAGTTTTAGATCATGCAAACTCCCCGTCTTTTCTGGAAGATCTTCCTTCTGCATTTCATGGTCAGCCAGGATTAAGAAACCCAGCAATTTGTAACAGTGACCCCAGACCAGAGGATTTAGTAGGAGATCAAGGTGAAAAGCTCAAGAAAAGCCAGCAAGCTTTAGACAAGAAAACCCATCCAGTGGTGTGGACTGACCACTCATTTGAACTAAGCCCGGGATTGCAGGATGCATTAGACAAATGGCCTAGTCCCTCAGGCATTGAACCAGTTTCAGTAAGCTCCTGTTTGAAAGGCAAGTTAGTTGCTCCTATTGTTAATCAAGAGCCAAATCCAGTTTTTGAATCTGACTGTTGTCAGCCAGAGCCTTTACCCACTTGCCAGGATTTAAAAAGCTCTTTCAAGGTTAAAGAAAATGAAACAGAAAACTTGGATCTTCAGAAAACAGACTGCATAACACTTCCACTTAAGGGAAGCAACAGAAAATTCTGTCCTCCACGAGACAGTAATAATATGTTTATTCCTCCAACACCCCCCAAAGAACCTTTTCCAAAGACTTCTGTTTCTCTCTCTGTGAAATCTTCAAGGAAGAGACAAGTCGCCTGCATGAATGAAAGACAGCTGATTCAGCAACAGCAGAATAGCGAGGGCAATGCAGAACAGCAGGTAAAAACACTCCAGGTCAATATTGGGAGTGTAGACCCAAGTGAGACTGATGAGATAAAAGATGATTCCACTATAGACCAAGGCTTTTCACTGCAGCTATCTCAGGATGTTTTTCCACTTGTTCCCTTAAGTGCTGAAAGTTTCACTATTATTGATGTAGCAAGTGACAAAACGCTTTTCCAGACTTTTGTTGCAGAATGGAAGGAGAAAAGCAGATTCTCCATCTCAGTGGCATGCGAAAGAACAAAATGTCTTTTGTCTCCCAAATCAACGATTGGTGGCAAATTCAAAAAAGGTCAGTTCTGTGTTCCAGCACATTATTTTGTGAACAGTAGGGTGGCATTTTCAGCTTAAAGCAGGAGTGGAGAAGGAAAAGGTTTGCAAAAAAGGAGGAAAATTACTGATATTAATTGAATATTGTCACTGTCAATAAAGCAAAGGAGCTGAGTGTTAGTAGAGGATGGAGAACTGCTGTCAAGCATTTCATTGGTAGGTCTTTGGTGATAGTAATGAAGCGTTAGCAGCTTGCTTGTTTGTGAGAGCACCTAATATTCTTAACATTTCATTGTGTATGTAATTTTGAAATGGATGTGTTGGGCAGTCCTTTTATCCTGTCTATCTTTGCATGTCATAAACAAGTTTCAGTATATTTTAAAATGAATAATGTATTTAACAGCAAAATGTACAGATTGTTCAGGGTCTCCACTGAGCAGTGTTGCTTGTGGGATTGCCCCTGAACCAAGGTTAAATATTTTTGAGTTTGTAAAAAGTAAACTAAGTTCAATATATGCATGTGTGAAATTCAGATCAGTCTCTGGGTTGTTGCAATACTGTTTCATTTTTTTCCACAGAAGTATTCATATGCTGCAGTTTGCTGCTGTTGCTATATAAACACACTTTTTCTTTAAAATAACGAGATTAAGCAGAGTTAGATTCTTTGCTGTCATATTGTGTAACAAGAGCAACAAAATTTCTTAACTATCAAAATATATTTTTGACAGACAAATGTGAAATGTTTTTCAGAGTGGAAGGAGTACATAGATTTCTGTCTCAACTCTTGAAGAGACTGCTAAGAAAGGCCAGAGTTTTGCAGGGATGCTATATGGGTAGTTGTTTCTGTTAAGAGAAATTTTTGCTATTCTAGACCTGTTGGTTTTTTTCCCTAAAAGAAACCCAGATTTTTCTCCCTATGGATAAAAATGAAGGCATATGTTCACTTTTAAGAAATTAGGCTCAACTGTATGTATTTACATTTTCAGGAACCAAACTCTTCTGTATTTATATATGCCATTTTATAATTGTAACTTAAAAATTACTCCTTTAGTAAGTTCTCCTCAGTGGATGCAAGTTAAAGATGATGGATTTCCTGTCCAAGGCTGTGAGGATATCTTGGTAGTTGGACTGGCAGTATGTTGGGGTGGAAAAGATGCCTACTATATCTCTTTGCAGCAGATTCAAGACCAGACTGGTAAGTGAGCAGACAGGCTGTGCTGTGCTACATGACTCTGCATTTCAAGAAAGTACCTTCAGCAGATTGGAGTCACAGATGGTAGGGGTTGGAAGGTACCTCTGGAGACCTAGTCCAACCCCCCTGCTAATGCAGGTTCATCCAGAGCAGGTTGCACAGGAATGCGTCCAGGCAGGTTTTGAATATCTCCAGAGAAGGAGACTCCACCACCTCTCTGGGCAGCCTGTGCCAGTGCTCTGCTACCCTCAAAGTAAAGAAGTTTTTCCTCATGTCCAGATGGAACTTCCTGTGTTCCAGTTTGTGTTTGTGCCCTTGTCCTGTTGCTGGGCACCACTGAAAAGTCTGGCCCCGTCCTCTTGACACCCACTCTTTGGATATTTGTAAGCATTGATAAGATCACCTCTCAGTCTTCTCTTCTCTAGGCTAAACAGACCCAAGTCTCAGCCTTTTCTCATAAGACAGGAGCTCCATTCCCTTGGTCATCTTCATGACCCTCTGCTGGACTCTCTTCAGTCTCTCCAGAACTGGACACAGTACTCCAGATGTGGCCTCACCAGGGCAGAATAGAGGGGGAAGATGCATTCCCTTGACCTGCTGGCCACGCTCTTTTTAATGCACCCCAGGATACCATTGGCCTTCTTGGCCCCAAGGGCATGTTGCTGGCTTATGCACAACTTGCTGTCCACCAAGATTTCCAGGTCTGTCTCTGCAGAGCTGATTTTCAGCAGGTCAACCCCTAACCTGTACTGGTGCATGGGGTTATTCCTCCCTAGGTGCAGGGCCCTACACTTGCCCTTGTTGAACTTCATTAGGTTCCTCTCTGCCCAGGTTTGTAGTGTGTCCGGGTCTCACTGAACGGCGGCACAGCCTTCTGGTGTGTCAGCCACTCCTTCCAGTTTTGTGTCATCAGTGAACTTGCTGAACGTACACCTTGCTTGACCCTCATCCAGGTCATTTATGAATATGTTGAACAAGACTGAGCCCAGTACTGACTCCTGGGAAATACCACTAGTTACAGGTTCTACAGATAGGTTCTTGGAGGTGTTTTGAGTGTTCCAAACCCAGCTCAGCTGTGTGATGGACTGATTTAGCTATATTATGCAGCAGTCTTAAGTGTTGAATGCCCTTGAACATGTTGCTCTATCTATATGCATAGATATTATGGTGCTATATAGATCTATGCATAGATCTGTGGTGCTATATAATAAGGCCAAGTAATTGGCTCAAACACTGGACTGCTGAACATGTGTATGCTAAAGTGTTAGCTTACTTCCATGTTCTCTTTAGCTTGCTTTTCTCTTTCAACCTCTTCCAATTTTTGCTCTCCAGAACAAATCTGACACTTGAATGCTGAACACAACCCAGTTTCTGCTACGTGGGCTTGTGGCTAGGGTTTGATTCCTGGCTCTCCTTTGTTTGGTAGTACAGGTACAGCGTATTGCTTTTGGGACCCTTGTCTGGTTTGATAAAATATATAATATCGGTATAGATTTATTGTTCACAGCACATTTTTTGTGCTTTAGGTGATTGCATTCAAGATTTTTCTCTTGCCTTTCTTATCACGCAGTGGGTAAAAAAAGACAATTTTTTGCTTGTGTTTCCTGCCTTAGAAATCAGTATGAGTTTGGCACCGCCGCCTTTGGACAAAAACCTGTCTGTAACAGAGAGACTGTATCACCTGCAGCTGTACCTGCAGAAGAAGCCCAAGCAGGAGCGCTCACTCATCATGTATAACTTCATTCAGCACTACAAGACTCTGGTGATGGCTTGTGGCATCTCCTTGGAAGGAAGTTTTGAGGACCCAAAGGTTTGCAGGATTATGAAATTCAGTTTGGGTAAAACTACTAGTATAAACACACTGGTAGAAAGACAGGAATACCTTCTGGTACTTTCCTTCTGTTAATTAGATTTGAATATGCACAGCTGTCGGGTTTTAGTGAAATTTTCTTCCAGTGGGAATTCTAGAACAGTATTTAGAGGAGACTTCTTTTGCTCTGAGTGTTCATGGTGCCCACAAGAGAAACAGAGCAGGTTCAGTGGTGGATTAACATGCTAATCTTTCATGTCTGATTGCTTGGGTGGGGAGGATGAGGTTAAATCTCTCCCCTGTTCCAGTGGACAGGGTTGAACTCTTGTTTTGTTGCTGTAAGAAGCTTGGGACTAAAGTGGCAGAAATGCTTCTGGTCCAATAATCTTATTGGTTCTGATAGCAGAAGACTTTGTAAGCAAAAGATTTACCTGCTATGTATATGGACCACCTTGCTACCACTATTTTCTCAAAATAAACCAAAGTTTATGTGTAATTTCAAAGGTTTGCGTACCATATGTAACTGAAATGAAACACTAGAAAGAGGTAAAAGCACCTTCTTGCCTTTGTTAGGAAAAGCTCTAGATGCATAGAAATTTCTGGTGTTGATTTTTAATGCTGAATAACATCATGGCAATATTAAAGTCTCCAGGTAAGCAGCTAAAGTGTTCAACAGAAGGACAAACTTAGCTTTTCATACAAGTACATAGTTTTAGGATAAAATTAAAGAGCAATGAAAGTAGCACCTTTCCCTGTACTATTCTATGTATTAAATGCAGTCATATTTGTTTATTTTAGTGATGCAATGGATATATGCATACATACAAACACACATTCACACACCCCCCAACCCCTTCTTCCCCTGTATACATGTGTTTTTTACCTTCTGCTTGCATGGCAGAGAAAATGCAGAAACCTGTGTTTCATCCTATTTTGACACAAGAAATTGAAATATAGCTATAAGCAAAATTGTTTTGAAGACAGTGGGAGGTATGAGGTTTACCACAAATAAAATTTGCTTTGCAGAATTCTTGGTACTAGTGCTGATGTGCAAAAAAAAAAAAAAAAAAAACAAACAAAAAAAGGAGAGCTCAGCTTGACTAATATTCTAGATCAATAGCAAGTTCTGATTTTTTTATAAAGTCAGTTTTCAGATTAAACATGTTTTGATCCCAATTTTCAAATGTAAACCCCTTTGTGTTAGGTTTTGATAAATGAAAAAATCTGACAACGCTTCTAGATGTGTTTAGTTGACAGAGGATAAGGTTTTCAAATGTGCAGAATTAACTTCCAGTGAGAATGAAGCTTTTCAGTGACTTATGCCCTCTTGAAGGTTTTATCTGAAACCATGTAACTTTTCCACATATTATTCCAGTCTGCATGCCAAATCAAGAAAAATAATCTGCACTATAACCTTGCATTAACCCCCAGTTAAATATTTATGTTGTATTATGACTAAAACGGAAAAAAGGTCTCATGGAGCTCTCCCTTTTTAAGGTTGCATGTTGGCTGCTCGATTCTGGCTCTAAGGAACGTACGCTTCACAACATGGTGACTAACTTTCTCCCCAGTGAGCTACCTCTACTGGAAGGGGTAGGCACCGGCCAAGGGGTGCAGAGTCTGGGGCTTAGCGCCAGCGGAGATCATTCTGGGCGATACAGAGCAGCAATAGAGTCTGTGCTTGTCTTCAACATCATGAACCAACTCCATAATGAGTTACAGAAGGAAAATCTGACAGGTAAAGAGAGCTCCTCCCGTTAGGGGTAAAGATGGAGGGTAAAGGTAGCTGTGCTACAACAGGTGGAATGATCAGTGGAGAAAAGAGGAGATTTGGAAGTTCTTATCGAAGTATATTCTGTGGCAAAATGCTAATTTGTTAAAAGAAAGGAGGGCACTTCCCTTTGAAGTACATCTGCTTTGTCAAATATTACATTTGGAATTAAAATATAATTTTTATGTCCTAAATATCCACCAGTTCCATTGGTTAAGGCAATAGCAGAGTCTATTTTAAATCTCTGAATCAAGCAGATCTTCACCTCCCAGGTGAGTACACTGGCCATTCTGAGGGGACTTGTGGGTCTTTCTGTGGTTTCTCATGACCGTGTTCAAAAGTTTTTGCATTTCCTTGTCAGAAGCAATTCTTAAAATCCTCCTACGTTTTCTGGAGGAGATTTCTTGCTCTTTGGCCTGCCCATGTAGCATTGTTTATTATGTATGCATTGTGTTCATGAAACTTTTGTGATCCCATAGTGAATGATCCCGTATGTTTGCACTAATATTTGATGGGTGCTTGTCTCTGTTTAAAAACAAACAAACCAACACCCCCCACCCCCCACAAGCACATACCTATTGGTGGGCTTTATGATTGTTTCCCCTAATTGTATCCAAAGCCTAAGATCAGGGTCCAGTCTCACTTAAGTCTTTTATTGCAAGTTTGTCACATCATTTGTGATTGTGACAACTAAACCTTGGAACATTTTTAAAACATGCGGGTGGTGGAATGAAAGTGTATCAAGTTAGAAAGCTTTACGTTAAGCACATCTGTGGTTTATAAAATGTTGATATACGGAGAGATGTGTATTTCTTAGAAGAAAAGATTTTTAACAGAAGCTGTTGTTCTCGTAAATATTTTGTTATAAAAAATTCTGGAATGCTTCTTGTTATGAAATATTTCTTACTATGAAATTTTCCAGAAACAAAAGTATTTAAACAAAATCTGTATTAAAAGATTTCAGTGTGTAAGGACATTGAGGATTTTAAAAACTGAGTATTTCCCAGTTGGTTTTTTATGAATCTGTTGATCTGCAGTTGGTCTGGTTTTGATGTTATAAAAGTTTTTCTTGGGGTTTGTACTTATTACAGATGTATTTTCTAAAGTGGAGATGCCCACCCATTATTGCTTGGCTCTGCTGGAGCTGAATGGTATTGGTTTTAGCACAGCAGCATATGAAACCCAGAAACAGGTCATGCAAGCTAAACTGAGCGAGATTGAGACCAAGGCATATCAGCTGGCAGGCCACAGCTTCTCCTTGACCAGCCCTGATGACATTGCAGAGGTAGGTGAGAGTTAGGGTGGGAGGGAGAGAACTTTCTCAGAAGTTACCCTCAAGAAGCTTTTGCTTAGATCTAAGAAAAAAACCTTCTTGGGCAGACTGTGTATGAGGAAAAGATAAAATGCAAACTGAACTCTGCTCAGAGTTGGTTTGTCTTCACACTCATGAGCTCGCTGCCTGCAAGGTGCTGTGCATCTGCTTGTTACCGATCATTCTGATTTCTGGTAACTTTAGCAGAAATAAAGAAGGTAGCAGTGGAAATAAGCACGTTGAAAATAAAAACCAAGTGGATGTAAGCATATTCTTTGTATAGGACCTTGGCTTCTCTTGGTGCATGAGATGATCTGTCAGTTAAATGGCTTTTGGAATATTTTGGATGAATGGTGCGGGACTAGAGAAGCTTTTTTGCAATACCAGTATTCCGCACACAAGATGCGATGTGATATCATGTAGTCTGAGTCTAAGAATAGTTGTACTGAATAAGTTGCATTGTTACCCTTGTCTCTGTACAGTCATGAAAGAGGAGGAAAAACTTTAAAAGTTTTTAATCAACTACTGTCTGTTTTTAAGAACCTGTATAGAACTGTCTTTTTTTAAAACCTAAGAAGCAGATTTCTATGTAAATTAGCAATACTTTTATTCCTGAAGAACTTTACTATATTTTTTTTGATGTAGATTACATGAAATCATAAGAATAGATTATAATTGCTGTGCATGCTTTTTTCTCCCATTTATTTATTTTCTATACACTAATTTCTTGCTGAGGGCCTATAATTTATACGGAAATAGTCAAAATTTGCAAGCAGCCATCACTAAAAGAAGCTCCACAAAACCATTCCTCCTTTGTTGCAATTGCAGAGATTTTGGTTGGTAACAGTAGTCTGAGTTAGAACTGAAATAATGCTCAGCTCCGATTTCAATCTGCTTCATGGAAAAGGCGAAGGAAGGTTTTTTCTGAAATACTGTTCTCTGAACTACAGAAACTTGCTTCTCATGTGGAAATTTTGTTAGGAATCATGTATCTTGTATAGTTAGTAGAGCTTGTTAGTAGAGCTTTACCCTTCTAATTTTGTGCCAGTAAAACCGTTGTGCTACAATAATGTGTGAGAGAACAGCTTCTATTCCCTTCTGCCAGCTGTGAAATTAAACACAATAGCTGCTAAATAGTGTATAATGCTACATAAAAACATAGACTGAAAAATGAAGAACTGTGTTTTGTCTGTCAACAAGTGAGCATATACTTGATTTTCCAGTTTTTGGCAATTTTTTAGAAAAACTAATACTCTGGCTATTCCATAAAAGGTATTTGTGACCATCTCCTCCTATGTTGCAGTGAAGCCTGCTCCCTGCTAACACTTCTTTTTTTTCCACCAATGTTCTTCCCACTTTTAGTCATCATAACTCCACGTTTTATTATAGTTGACTGTCAGCAGTAACCTCACTTATTGGATGGAGTTAATTACCTTTCCTAAAAACATACCTCTGAACTCAAACTTACAGTGTTCAGAAAATGAGATTTTAGATTGCATTTTGTAGTTAATTAAAATGAGGAGGAATGACTTTGATAGCAGAGATCTTTAATCAGCTTTTTAATTACCTGAAGCATTTGTACTATCCTTTGGTTGGAACAAGCTGTTTAAGTGCTCAGTTGCTTTTTATTTTCTCCTGGGAGTAGCATGCAGAAACTGATTTGAAGTGCTGGTCTTTTTTAGGTTTTGTTCCTGGAGCTGAAGTTGCCTCAAAATGGAGATGCGAAAGTTCAAGAGAACAAGAAAACTCTGGGTTACACCAGAAGAGCAACTGCTAAAGGAAACAGGGTTAGGCTGAGCAAGCAGTTCAGTACAACCAAGGTACAGTAAAGTCTAGTTCTAGTATGACTGTAAAAATAGCTTACTTCACACATCTGCTGCTTGGATACGTTGGAGTTGGGTATGCTGACTTAAATGAAAGTAAATTTTAACTGCCTTTTTGCTCCTCCAGTTACCACTGGAAATTTAAACTGGATTCTGCCTTCTCTGTTAGCAGAGTTGTTAACTCCTCCAGTTCTTCTAAAGCCTGAGTTTAGTGAGGACGTGACTATAAATAGCAGGCTTCAATTAGAATAAATCAGGCAGAATTTGATTTTCCAAACCGCGTGTAAGACCAAAATAGCACAATAATTTTGTAAAGCAAATAGTAGAAGAATTTTTCAACATCAGCTTGAAAGATACTTTTATACCATGGTGATTAAATACAATATTTTCCCTGCCTGGTACTACCATATCTGTATTTTGTGCTTCAGAGAATTTGTCTTCAGAGTGGCTGATCAAATTTAGTATATCAAAACCTTATATATATGTGAAGGCTATTGACATGCTTGCCAGTTGATAAATATTGTGGAGCTGCGTTAATACCAACTGCTGCAGGCTAATGGGTGCTCTTGCCAGACAAGTGATATTAGCAGATATATATGTTCACTGTTTTCAGGGCTCATTAATCTGTGTTGTTTTCTTAGTTCCCCCTTGTTCAGCGTAGTCAGCGCTTGGAAGGCAAGTATTGATTTCTGAAACTCAAGTGGCAGTGAAGAAGTGGTGGTGGAAGAGCAGGGAGCAAGAAGCAAAATGAGGGTTTCCTCCTTTTGTGATGTGGAGGGATGCATGGCTACAGGCTACAGCTGCCTGCTGCATACAAAAAAATGTTATTTTGAGAAATGTTTGCATGCCACTGTCTTTTAAAATTCTTCTTAGTCTCTTCATATTTCTGATTTAACTGAAAGGATTTGATTGCTAGTGATCAGCTTTGTCTTTCAAGGAGCATTTTCAAGGGCTTCATTTTATGTGTTCTGAGTGTACAGATAGGAGAGAGCAGGGAGAAAAATATGCAAGAAGATGGAGGAGGAGCACTGATGCTGGGCAAGAGGACACAACGTAGGGGACCTATGGCAAGTGATACATCATTTGATCATTTCAGGTGATTTATTGTTTGGTAGAGACTGAGTGGTGATGAGGATGCAAAAGTCCAAACAGAAGTGATTGCCTTCTTGTGTGTCATAAAACTGCAGCTATGTCTCATGGTGCTTTGATGGCCCAGGTGTAGGCGGTATAAGTGGAGGGGATATCCATTTAACTTTAAGGCAGTGACACTGGAAGCTCACTGTGGGTGAAGGAGTTGCTTTTTCCTGCAGAACTGCAATAACTTTATTTATAAAGCTTTAAAGGCAGTTAATTATAGTTGTGCCCTTTTTTCCCCACAAGGATATTTTGGAGAAATTAAAGATACTTCACCCATTGCCGGGGCTCATACTGGAATGGAGGAGGATCAACAATGCCATTACTAAAGTGGTGTTTCCACTACAGAGGGAAAAACGATTGAATTCTGCACTGGGAATGGAAAGGATATATCCAGTGTCACAGACTCACACAGCTACAGGTAAAGAAACGTGTGCAAAATCCTCACTTCTCACTGTTTTTTTGCCTTTTTGTGTGTGTGTGTGTGTGTGTGGGCAGCCTTTCTACGGGGAAAACAGGACATCAAGCCTGTGCTCTACGTCAACCAAATGAAAATACTGAAATACCTGTTTCACATGTATCTGCCCTAAAAGTCTAGATGTGTTAAGATAGCTTTTGTGTTCACCAAGCAGTATTATTCATTTCTTGCACGTATTAGCATGTAAATCTCTGACCCCAAAACAGGATCTGGATTTGGGAGTTTCTTATTAGTGATACAGAAACGCTGAAGGTAAATCATCTTAAGCCCATTAAACCCAAATTATTTTTCCTTCTCTTCAGTTTTCTCAGTGATCGTGTCCTGTCCCACCCCACCCCCTGCCCCTTGATTTTTGAAGATGCAGATGTGTGTTCAGCTGTGTTAAGTTAGAGAGACTCCTTTTGGACCCTTACTTAGTTCTGCCTTGTTTTCCTTCTCAGGTCGAATAACTTTCACGGAGCCAAATATCCAGAATGTGCCAAGAGATTTTGAGATTGAAATGCCAACTGTGGTTGAAGAAAGCCCATCCTCCCGAGCCCATGGAAATGTTAATTCTCGTGCTGTTTCTGGGGGCAGGTAGGAGGATCTTGGCAAAGCTTCTGCCTACTCTGGAGATCTTAATGTGGTTGAGTTGTCAGATTTCTCTTTTCTTGCGTCACCTGTAGCTGCTGTCATGTCAGTGTGACTTCTTACTCAGTGTTTCTCTTACAGGTTCAAGGGAATAAATACCTAAAAAATCAGTGACACGTGAAACATGCTAACACCATGTGGTTCCATGTAGCCGCTTGCTTTTTGAAATTCTTTGTGAAACTCTACAGTGAGATTAGCATTGTGCTCCTAAGTGTTGGATAGAAAGCCTGAGTGTGAAAGTAACTAGACTGAAGTTAGGATCTGGTTTGACTTTCTAAGAGCTGCTCTGAAAGAGAATAGAATATTGTGGAAGAAGTAGAAGAAAGTTAATCTGTTTTATGCTGTGCAGTGCCCAGTGTAAGGGAACATTCATTCTTTGTTACTAATTTCGTTTGTGATAATGATCCTGCAAAAGCTACCAGGTAGCAGAAAAAGATTTCTAAATCTGTTAGCCAAACACCCTATTTTGACAGCGTTACATGCTAGTGCCTAAACAGTTGTGTGGGAGTCTAGTGAAATATCAAGGTGGATCTTTTAGCAGCTAGTTTGTGAGCTTTGGGGCTTTATACTTGGTGGTGGTTTTCTGTCCTTTCAGTTTCTCTTTCCATTCAGGTTCTTGTCCCACATGTGTCACCCGAGTGACTTTTATCATCGTTTTTCCCATAGCAAGATGTGAGAACTTTCAGAAGTTTTTTGGCCCTTCTATCTGTCTCTTCCTACTGCCATGTGTCTAACATCCTTGTGCCTTGAGTAGGTCATGGGAAGGGGAGCCCGGGAGCAGCAGGATCTTGTCCATCTCTCTCCAGCAGAAGAATCAGGCCTAGCCGTGGAGGCAGAAGTGTCGTTCTGAGAAATAGCTCTCGCAGCGCTCAGGCTTGCAGCAGCTTTGCAGGACAGTTGGAGAGAAGGCTAGGTTCTTAGAATCTTCCCTGTAGAGAAGCAGCCTGTCAAAGGAATGGAGTGCTTGCTGAACTTTAGAGAGGTCTGCTTCTCAGCCTGACTTCTGGGACTACGTTCCTTAGTTGAGCAGCCACTGTGTTAGGAAGATGGGCAATCCTAAAGGCACAGAAATGACTGCTGTTGCAAAAAAAAGCTGTCATGCAGCCTAAGTCTGATAAGCCTTCGAAATTTGGTCCAAACTGTCTTTTATCTTAGTAACTATTATTATTACTTCTTCCTCTTGTTGTAAGAAGCTTCTGACCAAAGGAGTGTAGCTGAATTAGGTCATGGTATAAAGCCCTTATTCATTCAACTAAATTGGGAACCTATGCTGGACAGAGTGATTCTCTACAGTTCCCATATATTGTCATGTGTTGTCCCTCACCTTTATTTCTTTTGAAAATTTGTTTCTGTGATTTCTGTGCTATCTTTCATCTCCTTGATCCCTACTATCCCTGAAATGACAAGGTATAAGAAGAAAAGGGAGTGTGCGAGGGAAGAGAGCATGATGTCTTTTCTGTGCTTTGCTGAAACTAGTCTTGATTTCAGAGATACCTTTTCATTCTGATAAAGAAATTGCTCAGATCCCTGCCCCAAGCCTCAAGGATTTATAAAGGCCTTTTGACTTCCAGTGAATAACAGAATGGGCTGGCTGGTAGACTGGTGCTGCTGTGAATAGGAAGTGTGAATGGTATCATGGCTGTGCACCGTTCAGTGGGTGCACTGATGGATACAATTCCATCTGCAGCTACAAGTGCCTTAGAATCATAGAATTGTCGAGGTTGAAAGAGATCTTTAAGATCAACCATCAACCTAACACTGCCAAAACCACCACTAAACCATGTTCCTAAGCACCATGTATACCCATCTTTTAAATATCTCCAGGGGTGGGGATTCCACCACTTCCCTGGGCAGCCTGTCCCAAGGGTTTGATAACCCTTTTGGTGAAGAAATGTTTCCTAATATCCAATCTAAACCTGCCCTGGTGCAACTTGGGGCCATTTCCTCTTGTCCTATCAGTTGTTACTTGGGAGAAGAGACCAACCCCACCTCACTACAACCTCCTTTCAGGTAGCTTTAGAGACTGATAAGGTCTCCCCTCAGCCTCCTTTGCTTCAGGCCTAAACAACCCCAGTTCCCTCAGTCATTCTTCATAAGACTTGTCCTCCAGACCCCTCATCAGCTTTGTTGCCCTTCTCTGGACATGCTCCAGCACCTCAAGGTCTTTCTTGTAGTGAGGGGCCTAAAACTGAACACAGTCCTCGAGGTGGGATCTCACCAGTGCTGAGTATCAGGGGACAATGGCTTCCCTAGTGCTGCTGGCCACGCTATTTCTGATAGAGGCCAGGATGCTATTGGCCTTCTTGGCCACCTGGGCACATTGCTGGCTCATATTCAGGCAGCTGTCGACCAGCACCCCCACGTCCTTTTCTGCCAGGCAGCTTTCCAGGCACTCCTCCCCAAGCCTGTAGCGCTGCATGGGGTTGTTGTGACCCACGTGCAGGACCCGGCACTTGGCCTTGTTGAACCTCATAGCATTGGCCTCGGCCCATCAATCCAGTCTGTCCAGATCCCTCTGTAGAGCCATCCTGCCCTCGAGGGGATCAACAATCTGCTTTTACAAGGAGATCAACAAAAGCTGTGCTTTTACAGGCTTACTTGTGTGTGTGTACGTGCGCAGTCATGAGGCTGATGTGGGGGAAATCTTTTCTGTCTGTATTAGATATGGGCTGGTGGGGGCATTCTGTATATGAGAATGATGTTGAGAGAAGACTTGGCACTCAAGGTGGGGTGATGATTTTTTAGGATTCCTGTAGGAGTCCTTTGCTATCTTTCTGGAATGCCTTCATCACAGATTTGGGGCCTTTCATCTTAATTGTTTTGGAGTGGAATTATCCAATTTCTGGACCAAACCCTGAATGTACTAGGAAGATTTATCCCTAAATCTGTTTGGAGCCAGTAAATCCTTTCAGGTGTACATATGGCCTCTGTCCAATTCCCCCATGGTGAAACTAGGTATGGATTGTCCAGAATAGAGGCTTGTTTTCCCTGATTCTTTGTGGCAGAAATTATTATGTATCTTTAAGTGTTTCAGAAATCCATGAAAAATTCTTTGTCTCCACAGATGTAGAAAGCATTCCAGTATTTTGCCTAATGGCCCAAAATTTCAGGCTGAAGACGGATCTGAAGCAAGAGGAATACCGTTTTCTGTTAGCATGAGGCATGCTTTTGTTCCTTTCCCAGGTAATGCCCAGATCCTGCTCTGTGCCAGCTAATTGTTAAGAATATAGTTAACAAAAAGTCCTAGCTCTACTGAAGAGTTAAGAGTCGATAACAATGTATATCTGACTGAGCAGCCTACTTGGAAAACTAATGCAGTAGTTAGCATGCCCTCAAAATTATTCACAAGTCTGTAAAGGAGAGCGTTGCAACCAGGGAAAGTATTCAAATGTTATAATTCACATGTTCACACCTTTATTTCCTCTTTAAGAATGCCTTTTTTTTTTTTTTTTTAACAGCTATACATTGGCAGCTCTTAATACACAAATTGCACTCTATGTAGTGTTATTTCTATCCAAATGTCAGTTCTCATGTTGCCTGCCCTGGCTCAGTACAAGTCTGTTGTCTGATCTCTGTGCTGATCATTCCTATCAGGTGCTAGACTTCTACACAAACACCTGGACAGATACTTGTCTGTGTGTTTTTAATGGATTCTAGATGTAGGGGCCACATGGAAAGCAAGCAAGACTGGGGATCGGGGAGACAATCAAGAATTTATCTGATTTGGTTTCTGCTGTTTATTGGCACAACTTCTAGCAGTGTGGAAGCAACCCCTAACGGTATTTGCAAGAAAATGGAGACGGAGGTCGCATAGAAATAGCTGTGGAAAACTTTCAGAGCAGAAGGTGCAAGGATAGCTTCAGTCCTTCTTGCTGGAATGTTTGTTGGAATGTTGTTGGAGTAATTTATGAAATAATGATTTCTGCTATCTTCTTGACATCAGGTGGTTTAATCTTGGCTGCTGATTATTCTCAGCTTGAACTGAGGATTCTTGCTCATTTGTCTTGCGACTGTCGACTCATTCAAGCCTTGAACACAGGTACTGATGTCTTTAAGAGTATTGCAGCAGAATGGAAAATGATTGATCCTGAAGCTGTTGGAGATAGGACCAGGCAACAAGCTAAACAGGTAATTTTTAGGAAAAAAAAATCATCAGCAGTGCTCTGGGCAGGAAGGTTCAGTGTTCAAAACATCAGGGGGTCTCAGTAGTGTGGTTTTCTGTTTGGGTTTGGCTGTGATTGTTCCGTACATGCTTTGTATGTCCTCCCACTCTCAATACATGTCAACTGAAGCTGCCTGGGTTTTGGGGGATGAGGGTGGAGAAAAGCAGCGTGAATGGCTCGGACTTCTTGAGTGCTTGCCCTTGTTCCCATACCCTTGTCTTCCAGTGAATCACATTTTGTTCTGGCTCTGCTTTCTCTGCATGGCTCACCATATGGTTGCGGTTCTTCACACTGTCCTTGGGTAGATTTGCTATGGAATCATCTATGGAATAGGAGCAAAATCTCTAGGCGAGCAGATGGGGATTGATGAAAATGAAGCTGCCAATTACATTGAATCCTTCAAGTCAAGATACACAGGTTCGGATACGGCTGTTTGGGAGCTGTGTGGTGGTGGTGGTTGTTGTTTTTAATCCATTTTTATCCATGTCTCTTCAAATCCTAAATTTGTCTTAGCCTTCTACTACCCTTATCTCTTTTGAAAAAGCTTTTCACATAGCAGTTTCGTACTCCATAATGTTTTACTCTACACTCTGGCTTTATTCATCTTTAGGACCTTGTTGTTTTCTTATTACATTAATTATTTTGTTGGGTTTTTTTAATTAATTAATAAGCCCTGGGGAATCATTTTAAAGCTGTTAACTTTCTGAATAAGAAACACACTTTTCTTTATTATAACACACAGCTTCAAAGGATATGCAATACAACTTTAGACCACCCTTATAATTTTTAAATATAACCATTTGTCTCTTCTGTTCTTGTCTTCTGCTTTCATTGAGTTTTAAACTGTTTTGCATATCACCCTTACGTTTTTATCCAGCTGCTCAGAGCAGCTCTCCCATATTTTGTAAAAAGACATTGTTGCATTTCTAAGAAGCCTGTTAATTTTTAGGAAAGCAAGAGAGAGAGTAGAGCTGCAATCAGAAAATGAATGGAGGGCAAATGGGATGAGAGAGGGCTAACTCTAATCATATGACTTGGAAATGAGCTGGAAAATTATGTTCTGAAGATGCAGGGTTTGTTTCTTTAGGAGGCAGATGCTGAGAAAATGTGTTCTATTAAGATTCTGTTTAGTTTCCAATAATTTCTGGATAGTCTTTCCTTCATGACCATTAGAAATGAATTCCTGCTCCTCCCTCTTGGTACATGTGCGTACATACAAACTCTGCAATGTACCTTATATTGTAACTTCACTTCTTATGAATTTTCACTTATATGTATTGCCAGTCTGACATGCTAAATTACATACCTAATGAATTGACTAATGTTGTCGGTCTTGATCTTGAATAGCTCCTTTTAGCTTTTATATTTTGTAAACCTTGGAAAGAAATTGTCTGAATTTAACTTCTTCCGCTTTAGTGCAGTTGTTACGTGAACTTGCAGAGAAAGGGACTCTTCCCTGTCTCATCTTTCTTTGACCTAATTTTCTTTTCAACACTCTCAGTGGATTCACTCTATCCCTTGCAAAGTGCAGGTGGGTAAGCTTCTTTCATCCTAGAATCTGAAGTGACACAGTCTGAAGTCAGGCAGCCTGAGGCATCAAGGGCTCTGACTTCTGCTTTCAACTTACTCCGTTCCTACTACGTGTCTTTCCAGTGCTGGTCCGGGTCCTGACCTCTCCATTATCAATAATACATGTGTGACCCTCTGTGCCTGGGCGCTGTGCCGAATGGACTTCCTACCTCCTCGTGCACAGCCAGATACCCTGACACTATGCACTCTCTTCCACCTCAAAAGTCTTAATAAGTTTCCCAGCAGAGCTGCGAATAGGCTGAATGAGGGATCGTGTGCCCTTGTCCACTGACAGGGTCTACAAAATTTAAAGCATTATCTTCGTGCTGCTTGGGTTTCCCAAACTGCTTTCAGTGACCCCAGTGAGAAGTCAACATGGAACATCAGCTGTTTTAGGGAAAACTTTCTCTTTCCTTTCACAGGGATTCAGAAATTCTTGAAGGAGACAGTGAGGAGCTGCAGAAGAGATGGGTTTGTGCAGACCATCCTGGGAAGACGGAGATACCTACCAGCTATCAAAGATCCAAACCCCTACAGTAAAGCTCATGTGTGTTGACTGCAGTACTTTTTTTTTTTTTTTTAATTTTTGAAGTATTAGATTTCTTTGCATATCCATATCTGTGGTTTTACAGGGTCTATGAGCCATCTTAGTCATGATCTTCCACTTCTCACTTAGTTCATTGTTCCCTCAGTTGTTCTCTGAATAACAGGGCTTTTGTCATGGTCTGCTTGACGTAAGTCTGCTGTGACTGGGTGTACAGCTGTCATCACTGTGCTAACCTCACTTCAGAACTCCCACGTTGGAACTGGAGTGAGTAATTTATTGAAATAAGTGGACATGATTTTAAAAAGCCTCCACACAGTGATGTGCTTTAACTCTTCAGGCTGAGTTGCTCCCACTCAGCAGTCTTTGTATGTTATATGCTGTCAGCGCTTGAACAAGAAAGGGCATTTAAGTCCTATGTTTTTGGGTATTTGTTCCTTTTCATATTTCCCCTCAAAGGAAATTTGCTCAAACTTGTTAGATAAATATTTACTTAATATACGCCTTTGCACTGGCATTATTTTTTTCAAGTTCATTTCGGACACATCTGTCATAGACTCTACTTCAGTAAGAGTGTTATGACTCCCTGGGGAGATATTGGTGCATTTCTGTGGGGAGGAATCATTATACTTCTCAGTAGGAAGCTGGATTTGGTTGTGTGGAATTAAAGACTAGAGTGAAAGAGGGAGGAAGTGGGGGAGTTTGTACTCCAAGTAGTTGAAAGGGAAACAAGGAGACTTTCAAAACACTTTTGAGATAATTTGACTATTTAATCTGAAGGATACTTCAGCATGAGGCTTTGTAGATGCACCTTCTGTTCAACTTTGATTTATTCTTTATAATCATATTAAAGACCAGTTAATGAATTATCTTCACTTTCATTTCAGCTTCGTCATAACTTTTTGCACACATTTCAGCTCTAATCAAAGAGAGAAGAACCTTTGAATACAGTTTTCTTGTTTGAGAAGGGGATTAGCAGAGACATTGCTTGTGTGGAAAAAAAAAAAAGTCATTGTGTCATAGTGTGGTCTGGTGTGGTTTTGCACAGCTGTAATTCTCTGGCAGTCAGGGTTCAGTGCAGTAGACCAGATTATTAGTCCATGAAGTCCAGCTTCTTGCCTTTGGTTATCCATTCCTGAAGGTTTTGAAGACAGGCAGAAGTGTCTCATGTACTTGGATTAACTGAGATTTTTCTGCTCTTTATGAAACTGTTACCATGTTTATATGCTTCTCCCTCTTGTGGCCCGTAACTCTTGCAGGTTACTACCCTTGATATTAATTAATTTTAAATTTGTGGAAATCCTGATTTTTCTCAGTCACCTGGAGAAATTTTGTGTCTGAAGCTGGTCTAGAATGTCTCTTTCTTTCAGGCAGGTATAACAAACTCGTTTTCTGGAGGTTTTACTTGCCTGTATTTGGCCATGTATTTATTATTTTTAATGAAGCACATGTGGCATGCTGGATTTGATTTATTTTTTTGGCTAGGTTTTGAGAACACCTATCTCTGTTTAGGCAGAGCGACAGGCTGTGAATACAACTGTTCAGGGATCTGCTGCAGACATAGTCAAAACAGCCACTGTGAACATTCAGAAGCGCCTGGAAGCTTTCTCCTCTGTGATCAAGTCCTACGGACATCTGGAGAGCTCCTTCCAGAGAGATAAGACCGGTATGCTCACCTCTTCCTTGCACCCAAGAGCAAAACTTTCAGTGTAACTAATTAAAAAAAAAAAAAATTGCCTGCAAAAAAAAGTTAGGGCCTTTGGGCTAGGGGTGGGAGACACTTTATTTCCTGACAGTGGTAAGTCTGTGATTAATGGGCAAAAAAGTTATAAGGAAGGAGGAAGAATGTCTGCTCAACACACAAATTAAAGTAAATGTGATCAGATCAGAAACCCCAATTGCCTCAAAGAAGATTTTGCAAAGGTTGGCAGGGGGAGTTCATATGTGAGATGGTCTGTGATGCCACCACAGAATTGTTCAAAAGTTGGAAGGAGAAATTGAGCAGATACTCCGGCTTCCCAGGCAATGAAAGGATAGAGTGGAACGACTTCTAGTTCAAAAACCACATTTTTTTGGTTTGAATTATGTCTGGAACTTGTTGACTGGAATTTGATGTACAGAGGCTCCACAAAAGTATTACATGAAGCACCTATCAGGATAAATTTCTTCTTGCTGCAGATAGCAAAGCTGTGCAGGGGTACTCATTCGCAGAGGAGTGCTACCAAGACTTTTTTTTAGCATAATGTAGACAGTGTTTTGTTCATCAGTCATATATTTTTAGAAAGACAACTTAAGGGATGGAGTGCTATATTTCTTTGATAGTTCTTATGCTTCAACTGAAACACGAAGCTGTTTTAATATGAAGAGTCTGATTTGTAGGACTGAGAAGAAAAACTAAATAATTAATTGCTGAACCTCTAAAAATATGTCAGGGAGTTTTATTGTAGAGAGAGAAGATTCGGAGGTCTGCTATGAGTAGAAAGCATGTGCTTGGCAGAACTTCCCACCCCTTCCAAGAGCAGCAGCTACTGACCTTTGGCTAACGTAATTGTAGGCAGGCGAGTAGATGCAATTGCGACAGTTTTTCCTTCTCTGATACTAGCTGTTTTGAGAACTGGAAGGAATTATCTTTCAGCAAGTTATAAAGGCCTATGCCACCAGAGAAGCATCCTGCATCATGTGGCTTCTTCAACATTGCTGCTTCAGCGCGAGGCTTGTGTGAGGAACTGATGATGCTGTGAAACCCCTCCTGTAGTTGTGAACTGGAGTCCTCCTGTTAGCTGACCTGAGAAATAAATAACTTTTGAGTCTCTGTGTGTGAGGTTGTGTTTGTTTATTTTTTTTGAAGGAGCTTTTTACTATGGAACGGTTTGTTCTGTTTTATTTTTGTCAGGCAAAGCCTACCAAGATCCTGGTTTTATCAGCTGCTTACTTGTTTATTCAAAAACTGCTCTTTTTTTCTTTCCTTTTGTTAATCAGGAGCAGTAGCTACTGTTTCAGATAACAGCATTTGGGAGGAGGCTTACTGTCTTTTTAGACTAGCCATTAAAATGATTTTGGAAGAAAAGCAGAATCCTAATTCATTGCCAGAGAGAATGTTGTAAACCAACTTCTGATTAAACTTGACATGATTTTGTTTAAAAATTACTTTTAAAACAGATGGTTCAGGAGACGCAACTGTCTCTTGTTTCTGTTCTGATTCATATCTTTATAATGTAAGGCTGAAATGTTTATGTCTAAAATGCTTTTCATTAACATTTTTCCCTCAGTAGCTGTACAAATATTGATAGAATAGTAATGTTTTGTGGTTTTATCTGTAGGCATGGGCTTTTTGTTTTAAAGTTCCTCAGCATTAGGAACGTGTGAAGGTTTTTTAATTACAGGAAGCATGCCTTTGCATAATGGTACTTAACGAAGTGTGCTCTTCACTTGTGTAGGAAGGCTAGCGAGGAAGAGCAACAGAGGGATGTTACATCCCATCAGCGGAGGTTTCTTTATCCTCCAACTCCATGATGAGCTCCTCTATGAAGTTGCAGAGGACGATGTTATCCAGGTACAGCCGTGCAGTTGCTTTTTCAGCTACCTACTGCATTACGATGTTTCAAACAAACCTTCCTTCTAGGGGCTCAGCTTTTCTTCCCTGGATCCTCTCTCGCTGTGTCCTAAAAGGTCTGTGAAAACAATGTTGAATTGGATGAAAAATGGTGTTTGTATTCTTGATCCCTTTATTTTCAGACTCAAGCCATCCCCATGATTGAAGTTTTTTTCCAACGTGTGCTTTGCTGCTTATAACAGTATTTTGTACAACTTGTCTGCAAGACTTGATGAGTGAAGCAGTTTACTGTTGCTGACAGGTGTAGGGGGGAAAATTTTTCCTTGTTTGGAGGTATTTGCCTCCCTGTTTACACTTGTGTCTTCTGGCGCCTAAACTCAGAACATGCATTGTTACAGCTGTGGTTTATACTCTGTGTAGAGAAAAAAGGATTCCTTGCTTTCGGTACTTGTTCCCTCATTCCCTACTTACCTGTCTTTCTGGTAGGGGTGTTATGGTGCTGTTAGCAGCATGGTAGATATAAGAAATGTGCTGTGTGGACTTAAGGTACCTTTCACATGCATACATGTCTCTCTGTGTGCTCTTCCACCATGTAGGCGCTCCTGTGCCTGGGCATAGTGATGTCTGTGACAGCTTTCAATAGCAAGAGTTTTAGCCATATGTTGGCAGCTCAGTGTTTTCCCAAGTCCTGAGCACCAACTCAGGAAGGCTCCCAGGGTGTGCTTCCATAGCTTGGGGATATCTTTTCTCCCACTGCTCTTCTGTGCATACACATCTTTAATGACAAAAAGCCATTTCCTGACCGCAAGCAGTAATTCCTAGTCTGAGAGAGTTTTCAGCAGTACTGACTGGCCTGAGCTTTTTTTAAAAAATTTCATTAAGAACAAAAGGTTTAATATTTTTCTCTTGAATCTCAGCTCAAGCTTCTGTACATTTTGCTGTCTCTGTTCAGACATCTGTTGCTTCGGTCCAGGCAGGCTGTTTTAGAGATGCAAAGGCTCCCAATTTTCTTTCTGTAGAAAACCGAAATCCCCTTTTACGTCTTTAGATACTGACAAGTTCTCACAGTGTCCCCTGAAGAATTGGGGCCAAGTTAGTGGATTTGCTCATTGTTTATTGTATTACATTTTTTCATTAACAACCTCAACTTCAAGGGAAATTATTACCAGCTTTTCTGACTGCGTTCAGATATATCTCTGTCCGTAGATTATCTGGGCAGTCACTTAAAACAGCGTATGTACACAAGGTATGTTTCCTAGACTCAGGCTTTCCTTGTGTGTGCCAGATTTGCTTGTTTTTCAAGGATTTCTGTCTAGCTGAGACAACAGGGTACTTCTTTCCCTTTGATTAATTGTTTTTAGGGCCACAAAGGATTTTTTTTTTTTTGTGATATTATTGCCTGCTGTCTTTTCAGGTGCACCATTAGAACCAGCCTGTAGTGGAAAGATCTGGGTTGGAAAGGTTCTCTTTGAAGTCTCTCCCTCCTAAGCCCCCACTCAAAGTAGGGCCTGAATTAATTAGTCCTTTTGAATTACAATATACCTTTTAGTAAAAAAGAAGTGAGCATTTCTTGGTTTCTGTATTGGTGAGGCTTTTTTCATCTTGCCAGCACAAAAACTTTATTATACTGTAAATCATGTATTTCTCTGCTGCAACAGCAATTTTTATTCAGACAAGTTAGATTGGTTGCATGCTTGATGCTGGCTCTAGCTTATTTTCAGCTGCTAAAGTGCACAAAAGAAAACTAAAAATATCTTTCCATATATCTAGGAGTTTGTGTTCCAGTCAGAGTATCCTTACAAATGGTTTGTAAGAGAAATGATGCTTGTGATCCTTCTGTGTTCATTTGCAGTCCATCAGTGAGCTAGCTTACCTCTTTTAAAAGACGACGTTGGAGTAATACCTGTTTTTTCTTGTGCTGAAGGTGTAGAATGTCTGGGGCGTCAGGGCTCTCCTAGTCTGTGCAGAATGTCAAAGTGAAGGTAGGGAGCTTTCGGAGCTTATCACAATAGGAAGACTGTGAGAATATTGCCAAAAATGGTAGAAGAAAGGCTGACCTGCTGCCTGTTGAGCTGACCCTGGCAATGGGGAGTTAGGTAGGAATGCAAGGATATAGGCTAGATTAGGAATCAAAGGCTTGATGCTTTTAGACTGCTTGCTTGTTCCCAGCATCATTGTGTTTATGTTTTTAAGGTGGCCAGTATTCCTCCAAGTATGTTTTAGCTGACCATTGGAAACCCTGGAACCGGTGCTGTTTGCTTAACATACAGGAAATTCAGAGCCCAGAGCCCCCCACGTCAGGGTGTTGGTGCATGGCCCATCTCATCCCATCAGCTTCACCGGGAACCTCACGCAGGTTTTTCTGTCTCCCCTGCAGCTGTTGTCCCTTGTTCTAGGTGCAGCAGCCCCAATCTGATGTTCCTCACTGTGTGCGGGACTTGTGACCATTCTCAGAGAGTCTCCCTCTGTATGGTTCACTTTTCTTTTGAAATACTGGGCCCCAAACTTGATCAAGGCTGCAGTGTTTTGAATGGAGTGGAAAAGTGATCGGTGTGTCACACGGGCAACATTTTTTTAATGTGTTTCAGAATTGCATTTGCTTTCCTTCTTACAACAGTGTGTTGTGCTTAAGCCCTGTTCCGTTTTTAATCTCCGATAACCCCATTTTTTTACTTGCCCAGGCAGTTATTTTTCATCCTATTTTTGAACAGTAGATTATTTCTGTCCTAGTTCTCTACCCTGCTTCTTTCTACTCTGCACTTATCTGTGCTGAATTACATCCTATTTCAAAGCATTTTTCTAGGTTATCAAGATCATTTTGAAATGTGGTATGTAAGGGCGTGGGGTTTTGGAAGACAAATCTCCCCCTAGTTCTTAATGCTGTTGTAAACTCTCGTGCTCTGATCTCCTCAAATCCCTCCTCCATTCCCCAGTAAAAACTGTGGAGAAATTTCTACGGTGAGTACCTGTGAAGGAATTATGAAAAAGCACGGAAGGGTCAGGAGGCTTGAATACTTCCTGTGTTGACACTGTGGCCTCTAGCTGAGATGAGGAATCACAATAATTTCAAAGCCTCTTTTCATGCTGCTGTGGAAAGGTTCGTTGGATGGGTGTGGACTGAAAGATTCATTCAAATAAGCAGTCCAGGGCAGGCTGGACTCTGCGTCGGTCTTGGAGTAGGAAGGGAAGTCCCTTTATCCAGGGCAGGTATTTGCAGTCAGGAAAAAAATCCAGTCTCTTACAATCCAAAAAGTTGCAGGCAAGAATATCTTCTGGTCCCCTAACTGTGTACTGAAATGAACGTTTTCTTAGGAATACTTTTTGGATGGCAGCAAATGTTGGAGTTGACTCAACAAAATTGTGAGGGGGAACCTGGGCAGTATTTCTAGCACCTGCATTGAATATGATCCGCTTTCCCAGAGGTTTGTAGTTTGTGTTTCACAGAGCGCCTCTTGTGCCGATGCAACGAGGAGGAACACTGTTCTTTGCCTCTGGTGTATTTGTTTTGTGTCTTGCTTTCAGTACATTGAAGTTCAGAGAACAGACTCCCTGAAACATTTAGAATTATGCAGGTGGGTGAAAGAGGAGACTCTGCAGGACTCTCAAGTGTTTAACAAAAACTTAATCTTGCCTCTTTTCTAAGTAGCCTTAAGCAGTGCGGAACCAGTCGCAACCCTGTGCTGCATAAAATGTTACTGGCTTTATATAATTTCTCAATTCATAAACCCTAATCGGGATTAAAATGTTTGGTTGCATTGCCATCGGTGGTAGGTCAGAGCAAATAAACGCAGGAGAGGACTCTGGGTGTCCCTCCACCCCAGCTGTTGACAGAAAAACAGAGCATTGAAGTTATGTGTACATCTGACATCTGTTGTTTTCTTGTAGGTTGCTCAGATTGTCAAGCACGAGATGGAAAACGCCATCAAACTCTCGGTAAAACTGAATGTTAAAGTGAAAATTGGACCCAGCTGGGGAGCCCTGCAGGACCTGGAGCTCTGATACGAAATGCGGCTGTCTGGGGTGTGGCGAGGTGGACGGCACCGTGGACTGGGCAGGGCAAGGGACCGCGTACTCGCAGGCAGCGACAGACCCGCGTGCGGTGCCATCCTCCCGTGTCGTGTTTCTACAGTCGTCGTTGCAAGGTGCCTTCTGAAACGCGTGGTGGAAGCTGGTACGAATTCACCAAGCAAGCCAAACCCTTCAAAGGTCAGACAGCGCAGTGAAGCGTGTTTACAGAACTATGAAATTATTAATTGCTAAAAGCACAGTATTTAAATGAACTCTGTTAAAATATTCACGATCTTGTAATTTAAAACAAAACCCCAGAGCCTAATGAATTTATTACATATGAAATGAGCTGGATTACTTTAATAAAACAAGGCATAAAGATAATTTGGCAGTTCTTGTGTGAAATTGTGTCTAGGACAAAAATAAAAGTCATTATGTTTGCACTTAATGTTGAACTTTACAGGCATCTGCTAGGATAATTTTGTACTGAATTCTGCTGATGATATTCAGGTGCTGAAATGGCTTTAGCGCTGGCTGGATTTCTCACTGAGTAGCTGTGCAGCATTCACAGTGCATGGAGCCGGTGCTTGGTTGGCCGCCGACTTTTAGGAAAGCGTTTCGGTGACTGACTGCTGTAATTCATTCTACTACTACTTTGCAGACTGGCCTTGAGAGGGATAGTGCTTGGACTCTTATAGTTAACACAAAATCACTAGTGAAAACATTCCTTTTTAAATAATGAAACTCAATTTATTGGTTAAAAACTTAACGGCAATTCATATTTTTGTAAAGAAAAAAGAAAATCTCAGTCTGGCCAGCTGAAGTGACAGCCTTGCTGGTGTTTGAGGTTTGGTGTGTTAGAGAGGTGTTGCTGAATGGTGGTGGGTGACCCCGTGGCTCTCATTCGGAGACCCGTCTCCAAGGGAAGCCTCATACCCTGCCTGTTGGTAGCCTCGCTAAAAACTGCCCAGATTCCCCCCGCGCTTTGCCTCAGCGTCTTTGACTCCATCTCTGTGATCAGGCAGAAGGTTTGTCTGGGAGTTTGACCTTGTGAAGCTGAGCTGGTCCTGAGACTGACTTGGGGCAGCTGCTGGGATCAGATGCTTCAAAAGAGGGGGCAAGGAAGGAGCTTGCCGGGAATTAATCTGCTGCTGTTTGGTGTTACTCTCCTCACTGATACGTTCTGGTCTGGCTAAACCTCACATCACGTGGCTTCATTTCCCTTCCAGATGGTTGCGATGGTTATACAAGTTCAGCTGTTTTTGTTAACTTCATACAATGACTGACCTTGAATTCTGTTATTTTCATCGTGTAGCCCTTGTATGTTACAGGAAAGGGAGGACAGGTGCCTCCTGTCATCTTCTTTATGCCTCTAATTATTTTATCACCTATCTTCTGCAATTCCTCCCTAATGTAAGCAATCTCCATCTTTCCATTCATGCCTCCTGTGAGAAATTTTCAAGCCCCTAATTATTCTTTCATTTCTGAACTTCTGCCGGATCCATTTTAAGAAGTGTACTTTTGAAGTTGCCTTTATAGCCTGATCTGAGAGGATGCATACTTGGCTTTCAACAGCCTGTTAGCGTGCTTAAGCTTGTTAACTTCAAATGCGGCGCTTTTGGCGTGGCCGTTATCCTGACATCAGAAGTACCTGGCACCAAGGTTTCAAGAACATGGTGAGTTTTAAAAAGATGTTAAAGGGACCTGTGTATAAAAGGCCACATCCTGGACTCTGATCCACCACCGCGTCTGTTCTGCAGCAAAATGGACGCATGGTATCGAGTCAGAGCCCCAGGCGAGGATGCCTTCTTGGCCTTCTCAGCACCATCTTGGCCTTCTTTTCTGCTTTGGATTTCACTTTTTCTTGAGATTTTTTGTTTCCTTCCTGCCCGCTCTGCACTGTGGTTTTCTACCACATCTGTCACCTGATGGCCGAGCTCTTTATCCACAGCATTTGGTTGATAGACGCTTGATTCTTTTCTAAGCTCATTAAAGCTTTTATTATTAACAGATCTGAGCCTGGGCACCCTGGTGTCTGACCATTTGTGTGCTCTGCCTGTGAAGATGCTGGGTTGGACTCATTATCAATTCACACGGGCTAATGATTTCCTGTCCCGAGGTGTCATGCGGTGACACACCTGTGCTGTATTTCAGGCTCACCGGAGCCACTGTAATTTGAGTTGCTTGTTCTTTGGCACATTACAATATATTCCTCCTGCGTGCTGTCTTTAGCATTTCAGAAGGATGGATCTCACGCGTATTTCCCAACAAGCTTTCTGGACAGGGGTGATGCTAATCAATAAGGGGATTGACACAGAACGAAACTTATTTGGCTAAACAAACTCAATGAGTTCATTTTAATTAAGCAGTAATTTGGAGCAAATGAGGAGATAAAAGGTGGCCACCGCTCTGTGAGCAAGGCGGCTGTGGTGTTTGAGTCATGATATTAGGACTGGCTCTGAGCTGTTGCCTGATTGCTGCTATTTATGTTCCTTAATTCTGATTAGACTTGAACTATTAGAGAGGCTAAGCAGGGGAAGCAGAAGAGGGCTTAGGTCAGGTAGGTGGAGGCACAGCTTAGAGCTGTGCGGAGGATGATACCTGCTCTTTTCTGAAGTTGGTAGAAGGAGGTTGGCTGCTCACATTGCTTATTTTTGCCTGAGAGACCCTCTCCCCCCAGCTCTGATGTGCTGAGGCCTGGGCTTAGTTGGAAACTGGGCTTTCTCCTAGTTCAGGACCTGATAACGAGAGTGCAGGCTACCCTCTCTCATCTTGTAGAGAGGATGGGATGCATCTGATTGTATTCACTCTCTGTTCCTCAGCTGGTTTGTGTCTCTCTCTTCGCGGTCCACTCCTGCTGCCTGTGAGTTGGCGCTGCGCGGCAATGTGCAGTAACACGTGTGGTCCAGCAGCCCGAGAGGACAAATGAACGCTGCGGAAGGGGCAGGAGTTCTGTTTGTTATGGCAGCCTTGTCACTCGGTGTCCGTGGAACTGCTACTGCAGCCTAGTCCTGCCTTGTGCCCTGCGCTGCCCTGGCCTGGCTGCTGCACCAGCAGGTGGGTGTCTGTCTGCCAGAAGAAATTGGGTTGGGACCCAGTCCTGGCAAATCGCTGTGGTCACCGGGAATGCCTTCTCTTCACATCATGTGAACTTGTGTGACCCAGCTCCTCGCAGGGAGAGCCCGTCCCCTTGGGCTGCTGAGCAGCCTTGCTCTGTTCGGTTCGTATCTGCTTTCTTGTCAAAATGACTCAAATTTCAATTCAGCCTACTACTGGTACAGGGCAGAACTTGCCCAGGCTCGGCAGCAGGAGCTCCTGCCATTGATGTTTAATACAGCTATTCAGTCCTTTTCCTCTCGTGCAGACCACAAGTTTGCTTTGCTTGGTCTTTCTGCCGCAGCTTTCTGTCTATCCCTGCCTACTGAAAGTGCTCTGTGCGCTTTCTGGTAGCTGGGCAGCAGTGGGAGAGAAGCAGGTGACAAAAGATGACACACACGTACTCTGATCTGCCTTGGTCCTGTTCCCTTTCTCCCATACTATTTGCATTTCAGCAAGAAGAGAGTTGTAGAGTTTTTCCTGCTGTTTTCTTTCTATAAATCCGTAGCTGAAAAGAGGGAGCTGGAAGCTCGGTGGCTTTGTTTTTGAGCCTCTCCTGGCAGAGCAACTCCAACATGCTGTTGGTAAGTACCCTCAAACGAGCTCACATCTGCCCTTCCGAGATTTCAGCTTGTAGGTGACTGCTTTTAACCTGAAGTGGAAGTGACGTGAAGGGTGCTCTCAGTTGCCTGAGAAGCCCAGGTACAAGGCTGGCATTCCTGGGGACTGGTATTTTAATTATATGAGCACCACGTGAGTTCCCTGCAGTAAAGCATAGGACCATCAGCTGGGGTCTGGGTTCTGTCCCTGCGTGAGCTGCCGGAGGAAGGGAAGTGGTCATCCCCCACCCAGCAACAACCGTGGTGGCATTTCCCGTATTCCTGAATGAGTGAGTAGTGTCAACTCCATCCAAAGGTTTTACATAAACCATACACCTTTGAAATACTATAAAGAATCCAGGAGTAGAGGTTGGAAAAAAAGAGAGATCTACACCGACTAATATCAATTCTTTCCTTTATTTTCTTTCCCTCTATTTTTTTTTTGGTTTTGGTTTTTACTGGGGACTCGAAACAGCCTCAGTTAAAGATGCCTTAGTTTTCCTTTTGTTGCGCTGATCTAGGTTACCTGTGGAACCAGGACACGGTTAGCGCAGGAGTGTGTGGTTCACCCCAGATTAGCCTTCATTCCGAGATGCAGGTAATGACTCATTAACAAACCCCAGACATCTTCTGTCCACATTTCCTTGACACTGAATCTGAATATTGGTTGCTATTTAAAAAAGTACAATGTTTGATTTGTTGATTTAATCACAAAACAAAACACATGAATGGAAACACTCATTTACGTGACTATTGCTTATACACCTAAGATGAAGAGTAGACTACAGATGGCCACACGAAGTTCCTTAATGAGAGAGAGTGTGTTCTTACTAAGACCATACCAAGGCAAACATTCGAGACCGAAATACACTGTGCTTGAATTCACCTTTAGCTTATAGAACAGGATGTATGGGGGGTTGGGGTATTTAAGGGGCGTAATCAGCCGCAATCTGGCTTTTTGCCTATGTTACAATACACACAGTTTATAAATGGAGGAGTCCTGAGGTTGAACACAGCTCTTACTTAAGCTGCAGTCTTTGCTTCACTTAAAACTGTATACTGAAAAAAATATTTTTGTATGTGTATCTTGATTACAATGTACGTGGTGTGGCGTAAAAGGGCTTCTCTAAAAGGAATCTGTAAACTGTTTTAGAGAATTTCTATTTGTGATAATTTTATACAATATGTGTAGTAAATGGTGTATTTCTGTTAAATACTTGTCTAACAAGCTATATTCTGGTATTGTAGGGAATGTATTCGATGGACATAGTTGAACTGTAGAATTGTAAAAAAAAAATTTGGAAAACGGGTCATTATGCAAAACAAAACCTGATTCTCAAATTTTCCTTTATCTTGTCTTTTAATTCAAGATTTGAAGTTTAAGTTAAAACTCTAGGAATGGATTTATTTTTTTTCTTAAAGACAATAGCTTGTACTTCGTTGAAGACTTGCTAACTCTGAAAACATACAAATGATCTCATTTAATATATTTTCTCTGTATACTCTGTCTATCTACAGCTCTGTGTGTAAGATTAAACACATCTGGTGGAACTCAGGGGTGGCGGTGTGTGGGGGTGAGTGCGCTGTTGGAAGTTCTGTGTGTCTGGTTTTGGATGTGGTAGTGACGGAGAGCTCCTGTAAAGAACGTGAGGGAACAGGGTAGCCAAATGACCGAAAAGCATTGTAAATTGAACAACTATTTCCAGTCAATCTGGTCTATTGTAACTGAGGATTGCGATGTTGAAGGTACCTCTGAGTTTAGGATTTTGCTTGAGGTGGTGCTGTCTTTTAGTGGGAAAGGTGAAAGCACATGATTTCAACATCCAGCGACAGCTCGTGTCCTCAATTTTCTTACAGCAAGTCAGGTCAGATGCTGTGCTCGTTGCTCAGAATGCTGCGTCTTTATTCCTTTCCCTAACAGCCTTTAGCAGTCAGGTCAGGCCTTTCAAAAATCCCACACTCCCCCTCATTTCACAATAAATCAACCAGGCGAGAGTTTCTCCTCCCTCATGGAAGTTTTTAAGTGAAGGGTTTTTTTCTTCCCACATACAAGGTAAATCGTGATAGAAAGCATTTAACGGTGTGCACTAACAAACTTATACAACATATACATTACATATATATATTTATATATATAGAATGTTCTATATACAAACATATACAACTTTTTAGATCTCTACAGACTACAAGAAAATTGATAATTATAGTCACAAGTGGTGAACTTAACAGAAATAGTAATTTGTAACTGTCTGGAAATAAGTAAAATATGTTAAGAGTGGAAAGCAAGATACAGCTGTGACCTGATGGGAGAGTACTAAAGAAAAGTCGCTTAAAAGTTTAGTATTAAAAATTGTAAGTTTGAGGGATGCTAGATTCTCATTTCTCTGTCACATAAAAATGCAAATGGAAATCTACTGGCAGGGTTGGGTTTTTTTTCCCCCTGGTGTTAAGCTAGAGACTGTTGGCAGCCAAAGTCAGTCAAGCATTGTGTAAGCGACTTGTTGAAGACACTTTTCTCTCTGGGTGTGCTGTAGGGATTAGCAATTAAAAGTTGCTCTTAAATTTTTACATTTGATTCTTAAACGAGCGAGCAGGCTCCAGCTCCTCCAGCCTGAAGCCATCGCTGCTGAAATCAAGGTAACGGGGCTCTTTGCAGTATTAGCCACCCACGTGACATACAGCCGAAGACTTAGTAGCTTCCTCGTCATTGAAGTGAACCGAGTGCTTCCTGAGCGCGACGCGCTACCACTCATCCCGGCTGTGTGCTTAAAGGCTGACAGCATTACACCAGTTCATACTGGAAACCGGCCCCATAGGTGGTGGGCGTACAAGTGCCACACTGGAAGCGGTAACGGCCCTTCCATCTGCACCGGCTCAGCGCAGAGGCACGCGTAGAGCTGAGTACCCAGAACAAAGGCTGGTGGGGCAGCCTTGGCTTGGAGTTAACGAAGGCGGCTCAGCTTCTCTGTAAAAGCAGAGAAGGCAGGAAAAATAATGTCTGTGAAGTTGCTTGGAGGGTTTCAATGCTGCCCCAAATGATTTTGTTGCCCAGAGACTGGTGGTTTTGGAGTATAGGCCAGAGCACAGGCAGAGCGAACATACATTTAAACAGAAGATGGCTATAATGTTGTTCTCATTTACTTTGCGTTCTCAATGCTTGGTTACAGTGGTGCTTCCTACACGTGCAAGTGGCCATTTCTGTCACCTGGCTGCTGGAAGGAGGTCCCCAACCCATTTCGTATTGGCATCAGAACTGTGAGTTTGCTGTTTCCTCAAACACCCTCTCGGCTCATGGACAACTCCAATTCCTTAACTCTCAGCAGAAAACTGGCCATTGGGTGGGCTTTGACCTTTTTCCCAACAGGTTTCTGCAGTTCTCGTAGTTATAGAGCGGTTTCTCCTGTGACAGAGAGGAACTCGTTGAGTCTCATTCCCCGTTGAGCTAGACCTGTCAGGGCATCATTGTGATTTTGCCCACACAGAAATGTAAAAATCCTGTAAAGCGTGACATCCCTGTTGTGCTACAATCTGAATTTAAAACTTAACACCTCAGACCTGTTCCAACCCTTTAACTTGTGCAGCTGGGCCGATAGCGAAGCCAGACTTCTGGACCGTACAATTTCCTGGGCTCCGTTTTATTGTAAGAAAAGGAACGATATGGGAAAGGCATCTTTGAGAGAGATCATCTGAACCCTGGGATGATGTAAACACCAGTGAAGCTAAGGTCCGGTTAGGAGGAGGGTGGTGCCTGTCTGCATCTGTCAGGACTCCTTGAAGGGACGGAGGGTGTCACTTTTCTTGTAGAGAAAATTTTTAAATGCTGCTTTTCCACCTTTTCCTTACTTTCCTTTTCTGATTCAAAACTATGTCCAGGCCTTTAGTGCCTTGTGTCCAGGCCCATCTTGGAAAAACTTCTAACTTAACAGTTGGCCTGTGTGGCAGTGAAGCTCTCGTAGGCTACCGTGGCTGCAGCACACTCATGGACTAGGAATCTATTTGTGCAGACAGGGAGGTTCTACTTACTGTTCTCTTCTGTAGCTGCGGGTTGGAGAGTTTTCTGCAGAGTTCACTGTAGAAACCAAACAAGCCACTTTGAAGCAGCAGCAAGTTACTTTTAGCAGTGTGAGCAGAAAATCAATTGCCACGCACCTGTGGTGTCATTTTATATATGTGCCAATTCAGCGCCGTATGTTGACAATTGTTTTTCATGCTCCTCCTCTGGCCCATCGTTTAGTCTTGCTGCGGTGAGCTCTCTTGCCCAGCGTTAGGGGGGCTACTGTGCAGCTTCTGTATTTCAATCGGCCACTTACGAAAAAAATCACTGCTCTGCAAGCTGCTAAGCAGCTTCTGTGAGCAGAACTATGACAGGACTCTCCAACTTGTAGCCCTGCGGTTTCCCATCTTGCCTTTCCTAACTTGAAGAAGTGATTTCCTAAGCTGGTTTTCTACTCCTGCTACTGAGAAATAAGGCAACCGAGTGATACAGACACCACGGGGATGAAAAATGCCACAGCCCCCTTCAAGGACAACAGAGATGACTCTAGAGCACGTTTTAAAAAGTACAGATAAGGATGACATGTCATGTGCTCTGAATTGCAAATAAACCACCTATGCTCCTGTTTTAATGACATTTCAGATAGTGCCTGTCTAGCTACGTGAAAAATCTGTAAATTTTGGGCATAGGATTTTGAAGTTATTTCTTTTTCTGGTAGGAGGTAAACACTGATTTCAAGGAAGGTTTTTCAAGGGAAATAAATAGCAGATAAGAAAATGCAGCTCAACTCATTTTTGTGTTGAGATTGGTAGCGAACATGCTTGAAATGTACTGGCTTTTTGTAATGTCACTTTTCAAAAATAAATATTTTTGCCATTTAAGTTTTTTTTTCTCAGAATAGAAATAAATTCAATTTTTCTTCGGTCACAACATGCTTTCTTTTTCTCTTTTTTTTTTTTTTTTTAAGATTTCAATTAGTCATGCAAAGTTTTATAAGTGCATTAACATTCGAGTTTGTACAGAATATTTTTAACCAGACGCACTCCCCACAGTTCATACCTACAGCTTCTGAAAAACTACATGCCACAGTGATGGTTGAGTCCCTTTTGGAAAAAAGTTGGCTACTGCGTGAGCCAGCTGTTGGAGTAAAGACCCACATGATTCTGCCTTCCGTCTCACAGTCTGTAAAATTTCTCCTTGACTCCCACTGTGATGAAATCCAATAATAGTAACAGGAAAACATCTAGGAGAAAAAACGGTCTCTGGCCAGTGACTGGTAGATTTGGGAATGAATGTTGCTTCCCTGAACAGAGTTCTTAATAAAGCCAAAAGCAGTGTCTTTGAAAGTCTAAAACTGGTACCACTTTTTGTCCTTGTATTTCAGCATCACCTACAGAAATGGGAAACAAACAAACAAACAGATATAAAACACTGCTCTGCATATGAGGTATCACACATTACCCAGGCCCATTAACTGTCACAAATTTGTAAGTAAAAAAGGAAGAGCACTGCAGTACTTTACTAACTGTCATCAGGTCTTGATTCCACTGAGACCTTGTATTTAATTTCATAATTGCTACATTAAAAAAAAAGTTACCTGCTATTGCTGTTCCTTACAAGACTTTCCCCGAGGAGTTTTAACTACTTTTCTTCTGCAAAAAGTACAGATGTTCGGGAATAACCAGGAACTTGCTTTTTATTCCTATAGAAAGAAGCTTATCTATGGAGCATAATAGATATATTGTGAATATATAAACTTTTTGCATTTCAGGGCACGTTCTTTCTGCGTATTTTTGCCTCATGCTTACGAAAGCCAACAAAAATGTAAAGCCTTGTTCAGAGAGGTGATGCATTTTAAATTAAAAAAAAAAAAAGTGTTTTGGGAAGTATTCTTTAATGTTGCTTTATCTTCAAAGAAAATCACTTTAGCTGATTCCCAGCCTTAACAGCGTGGGATGGAAGAGCTTTCCATTTCCAGCTCTAAGCACAGCAGCTGTCTATTCCAGGCAAGCTCTAGTCTATATAACTGTTCCACAGTGCTGTACTAGAAATGTTCTCCTCTTCTTCCCAATAAGATCTGTAAAGGTTCCTATACACACATCCACCTACCTGCTTTCCGCCCCACTGCATAGATGTGCTGCACTAAGTGCCTTAAAAAAATACCATAATGAATTAGAGAGAAAGGCACGAGATGAGAAGTGCCATGTTCTAAATTTAGAGGCTAACAATGGACGCTCATTTAGGAAAACATGAAAGGAAGGGGTGTGCAATGGAAGTTGATTTTTGGCATTCTCATTGTTTGGGAGCAGGAAAAATAGTGTGTCAGTTACCAGGAGCACACCTAAACCAACATGACTGGGTGAATGGGGAGAACCGTACTTGACTTTCCCAAAGGGAAGCAAAGGCTCAGTTGCAGGGTTGGTGGTTCCCGGTTCTGGGTGTGTGGTACCTGGGCCCCTACCTCGTGTGCATGTTTGGAAAATGCCTCGGCGCTGGCCATCATGCTCGCAGTCCTTTCATCCAGCTCTCCTAGTTTCTGTCCTCTCTCATCAAGGGCAATGCGTGCACGAGTCAAGTCCCCAATGACTCCACCTGCGGCTCCTCTCACACCTTCGATTCCACCTGATCCAGGGATGTGCTGGGCAAGACTGCGAGAGGCTTTTCCTGCCGTGGCCTCACCAACTGCAAAGGAGAAACAGAGAAGCAGACAGGAATGAGTTCCTGCCCATGGTTCTGTCAGTGCTTTTCATCCTCAAGCTGCAGCTTCGCAGCGGTAATGCCATTTGATGTGCAGGTGGCACATGTGGAAGACACGTGCTGTGCTGTGCACCGGCACAGATACAGTGCAGTTGTGAACAGCCCCCCACCCCAACTGCTCAAAAGAAGCTGCCAAGGTGAAGGAATTGTGGGAGGAAAACTGAGGACCCTCCCCTTTCTTCACAACGTCATCTTTATTTTTTCATCAATGACCTAAATCTTGTGTACCACTCCACTCCTAGATGACAAGGGCAGGGATCCAATGAATTAATTTCTGCAAAAAACCTAACCAATCCAATAAATTACTTACAAAGCTCCTCTCTGTCAAAAGCTTGTCCACTTCCTCCAAAAAGTCCTTTGAGAAAGCCTCTGTTTTGGGCTTCTGGTGTTTCCACAGGAGTAAACAAGTCCCCAAGCATGTCCTAGGCAAAGTCAGACAAAAGTCCATGTGAAAAATTAGTGAGGTGAAAGCAGTTCTAGGTGTTTGCTTTATTTGCATTAACGAGCCACATGCCTTGGATCTGATCAACTACTTTTAAAAGAGTCTGTTGTGTGAACAGTATTGAGTACTTAGCATTTATGTTTCATGACAGGCAAATACTCGGGCTAACTAGATTCACTCATGCCTTCAAAGGGACTTAGTTTGTCACTTCCCTGTCTCATGTTAATTACCATGGAGAAAAAAAATTCAAAGCAATACAGAGTGAAAATATCAGTGGTAAGATCGTATTTTGCTTAGAAACAAGAGAGGCAACATAATTGAAGAAATGATTTGTTGTCAATTATCTGTTTTGCTGTAGTGATTCTCCAGGCAAGCAGGGCCGGTACTCTGTTTTCTCTCTATAGCGTACCTGAGTTCAGTGCTTGCCGGCAGTTCAGAGAGTTTGGTGGTTCGTTGTTTGTTTGGGCTTTGTGTGGGTTTTTTTTATTAAAAAAAACAAAATGCCCATCACCTTCCATACAACCTCCCCCTGCCGTGCATTTTGGCAGTGCCATAAGTAATGCTAAATAAGCATGTCTGAAGGCACTGTCATGGTGCCAGATCTTAGGAGCAGTCGACCCAAACAAATTTCAGGCTCAGATTTATTTGCAGCAGTACTAGGAAAAGCGGGCTCTCCGGAATAAAACTGATAAAGAAAGCGTGCAGTCCCATTAGTGTTTGAAACCAGTGAGGCTGTGCAAAGAGAACAGTTCTGCCGTGTTGCTCGGCTCTGTGTTTGCTCATCCAAGCCCCGACAGGCAGATACAGCTGTTGCGCTGCACAACGCACTCAGCTCCCGGGAGGCTGAGTGCGAGGACAGCGCTGTGACTCACACTTACTGCTCCTCTGCACAGTCACCTGCTCTGGGGAGAAAAATTACTGCAGCCCTTTGAGTCTAAGTGGAGGCTCTCATGCAGCCTGGCTTGTGTTCCTAGGTAGCAGGTGATACTGGGTCATCTGCTTTTTGTACACATACGACAACTGTGCGAGCCTTTTACTGTCCTCTTTGCACAGAAGCCAAGATAGAAGCAGCCACAGTCCAGCGGTACAGAGAAGCAAGGGGGATATTTCCCTTTGGTTGGTTGTTGTATGGTGCTATTAAGGTAAATAAAAAAAAATGATCTAGCTTCTAACAGCCTCTCACTATAGGTCCATCTTCTAAGACACATTGATCAGACCTTTTGATCATTTTAAAATTGGTTCCCTGCAAAATAATCTCCGATGCGCAAAAGCTTGTGTGCAATGCTCGCCCCTCGCAGTCATTTTCAGACTTGAGACAGACAGTGCTGTGATGTGAGCTGAGCAGCTCAGCACATGTTATTCCCTAGGGCATAATGAATGCTGGCAGTACCCTTTCTTTTATATTTCTATCCTAGTTCACTGCTAATTATATAACCTAGAACTTATTCCCCCTCTTTTTTTTCCCCTTTTATTACTCATGTTTCTCCCTATAACCTCTTACAATTCCTCCTCTTCAGTAAATGACATTTTAATTTGCATTTTCATTGTAAAAAAAAACCAACCCAAATCTAACATTGTAAAGACCTTTTGCTCAAAATAAATTATTTTAAGTAGACCATTTCTGTAGCTACTGTATTTTAATGTACAATGGGAGATGCTTTGCTCATGTGGAAGAAGGGGAGTACCAATTATTGAAGTAAAAACAATGGTAAATAATTAAAAAATATATTAAAACAGAGCATATTTTTTGGTACTAACCACACTGGTTTGTCTCATGTTCCCACCTATCTACTGAAAGCTGCAGGTATTAAGATATTTTTAGAGTAAAATTAAAAAATGATAAAAACGTGGGAAGGAATTCATATTTTCACTGAAGCAGTTGCTGTGTGGTCGGACATGTGCTGGTACCAACTGCTGTAGCTGCTACCCGTTTGTAGCTTCCCCTTCTTTCCCTTTAGTCATTTTTAACAGTCGGTCTTTCGTACGGTAGGACTTTGAGAGAAGCAGGCTGTGAAAAGTCCCATTTGGGCACAAATCTGCCTCTGCATAGAGCCAGCAGAGGTTGCAATTACGTGCGGGCAGGCTGTAGGCTCAGGCCAGTCGGTCGGGCACAGGAGCAGGGTGACAGTGTCGTGAATAAGTCCAAACAGCGACAGAGCTGCTGACCGACCTCTGCTGCTTTGGCATCACCCCGCCAGGGCAAGTGGAGAGGAACACATCCATCCCGCTGCCGCCGTGCAGCCTTCACTTCAAATACTAAAATCTAGCAGTAAACGTGGCAATTTACATCCGATGGTTCAGGCCACTGGCTCTCCCACACAAACACAAAGGTGACAAAGTAAGGATTTGAGCCCTACCTGCAGATTGTCACACATCTCCTGGCTGTACGTCAGGCGCTGGATCTCTGTGGGAGAGCTGAGATACAACGCTTGCCCTTCATTAGTGAAACAAAAGGTTCGTGCTATCCTCATGTCTGTCACAGGCAAATAGTTGATGTCCAGCAGTGGGCGAAGGCTGGGCAAGCTGAAGAGAAGGAGATACAGTTAATCACCAGTTGCCACATGTGGTACACCTGCTCTGTGCCCGCATTTTAAACCCACATGTAAGTTTATGCTTTTCATAACCGGAATAGTTAAAGTGCAGCTCTAAGCTGAAAAATTCTGCCATAAACACGCTGCCTTCCTACTTTTTTCCCCTGCACGGAGAAGTTTCAGCTGCCTTGTCTCACTGACCTTTCGGCTTCTGCTACCGTCTGGATTTGGGATGTGCAGGTGGCACAGCACGGCTTGTGCCACGGGGCTGGGCACTTTGCAGGGTAAGGTTTTCCTGCAGGTATCACAGGGCATGGCAGGGCCCTGCTTGTGCCCTGCAGAGAAAGGCTCCAGCATCACCTTTGCTGTCCACCAGCTTCTCCTGGTTCACCATTTTGGACGGCACTTTCCAAAATGTAAATGGCCTGGCTGGGGAAAGGGGGTGCGTCAAGCCAAGCGCACAGCTCCAGGGCTACTGCACACTCAGCTCAATGGTGGAGACGACAAGGAAGGGAAACCAGATGCTCTAAGCAGAACATCTTCCAAAACAGCAAGAGTGGGACTTGCTACTTCACACTGGATAAAATTGCCCTTTCTATGCCTGACTTTTTCTATACTCCTCTATACCTGACTTACCATAAACGAGCAAAATTATCATGGTTCTCTTTTATGACAGTTAAAAATCAAGAGCCATCAATTGTCATGGTGGGGGATTACTATAAAATAAAGGAGTTTGCTTTGCTGTGCAGCTGCCTTAACTCCCCGTGTGCAGACAGGCCAAGGAACAGGTACGGCAGTGGGCAAGGCAGGGTATTAAATGCACCCGCCAGGGAGTTAATGCAGCGCATCAGGCCCTCTGGAGGAAACACAAGGGGAACGTGACGGCACTGTGCCACCGCTTTGTTTAGTTTTGCCACAAGATTAGTTAGGTAAGTACCTCAGTGTCATGATGTGCCCATTGGCACAAAAGCACGCCAGACAGACGCTGTTACAGAGGGTGACCACATCTGCTCGCAATAAAAAGGACGTTTCGGTGATGTTGTGGACATAAAGACATGTTTGGGAAGGCAATGAGAAGACTTTGGCTTGTTTTTCTGAACAAATGACTGCAAATTGATGATCACCCATATCCTGGGAGGAGGAAGGCGAATGCATGACAAGTTTCCTTTTTCTTGTTTTTTCACCGTCATCAGCACTGTGTGGGTCCCTCCATACTTCATACGGTGGATGTGTCAATGTCCCCATGCAGTCCAAGCACGCGAAGGTCAGCACGGCTCCTTTCAGTGTCAGAACTGTGCCTGCAAAACAGAATTTCCACTCACTGGCACTGGCACCTCAATTAAACTGGTTGTCAGTACTGTGAATGCATGCAGCACAGCTGACATTCAGCTTTTGTAAACAGAGCAAACAGGTTAACGTAGCTAAGGTGACAAGTCTTCCTTGCTCAGGTCTTCCTGACCACACAAGAAGGTGAACAAACAGCCTGCCACAGTACTGAAAAGGTCTCAGGCAGTCTATACCAAATAATCTGTATAATACATGCTACAATACCATAAAGATAAGCTGTCTTTTATCTCGACATTATACTGGTAGGATATTTATTCTGCAGCAAGAAAATTGCTCTCCTTAGTCTGGTGGCCTTCCAGCATTGTTTTTCTAAACAAACTGGGGGTGGGAAACCTCTGTTTCTGTGCATCCTCTGATTTTTGCCATTATTTCACTTTGACCATACTAAGCGCATACTGCCTCTCCTCAGACTTGACCTCTCTCAGCCCTCTGTTCTCTCTGCTACACCATCTGTCACTCACTCAGCCAAGGATCTCTCCTGGTACACCAACCTGCCAACAGTTTTGTTTCCTTTCCTGAACTCCCTTCTGCTTCTCTGCAGCTCTCGGATAGTGGGACAGCCAAACTGTTCACAGCATCCCAGAGAGGAGTGCATCAGAGCTGTACACAGGACTGTAACTTCACAATATGAAGGAACTCTGCTAATTTCCCTACCCTGACAAGGAACACGTAACTTTGCCCACGACACAAGGTAATATTCAGAACTAACACAGCCGAAGTGCCTCAGTTCATGAAGCTGCGAGTCTCTCATGAGCATCTTTACCTGTGTTCCCTCTATGTAGTGAGTGACCACTGCTTGATATACGTATTGAGAAATTTCTGCCCAAAAGGCCATATGAAATCATGCAGTTATTCCCCGTGTTGTACCAAGACAGAAAACAAACAGGAAAAGAGCTACACTCTTACCACTTGGCGACACCATCACTGGCTCTGACTGCCGTAAATCGTCACTAGCAGGCAGATTAAGGGAGAGGATTAAGACCATACCGAGGCCCGTTCCGACCCAGAGACAGGGGGAGACAGCGGAGTCATTCTTTCGGGCAAAGGACTCCATGAAGTACAAAGCAGTAATTGCCTCCTTTGAGTCCCTGTCGATACTGGACACGCTGGAGCTTCGGGAACGGCTGAAGGAGTTTTCCCTATTTTCTGCATAAATAAATACAAGCAAAACAGGCATAAGTCGGCAATCCTAGAATAGGCACAAGCCTGCAGCAAATACAAACTCCCTGTAGAGTACAGAAAATACAGAGTTTTTGTAACCTGAGCAAGCATCCTGATACTAGCACGATACCTGCTTGCTGCCAGTGTATAAATAAGCGTGGAAAATGCTGTCAGACCTCATCAGTTAGATCTGCATTAGAAATAGCTGCTTATTATGGAGATTAGCATAGACTAATTAGAATTTACAACAGCCTTAGCTCAAAGGACTTGTTCTAAATAGCATGAAATAATTTTAGACCCATATGTTACCAATGCATTTAAAATTAATCCATGTATCTCATTGCTGCAGGACATGAAGGGAGATGCCATTACCAACTTCAGAGCATGTGTCCTTTGCTCTGCTCTTCTTTCCATCGCTAGGACGTTCTCGCACTGTGTTCACAGCCATCGTTTATTGTCAAGCTATTAATAACCACTCTCTGAGGAAAAGACACCCATTGCTAAACTGATCCCAGCATCCAAAATGTCTCAGGGTACAAATCAACTCTGGCTTCCCAGGGAGTGAAGTGAGAAACCTGCTCTGTGCCCTTGGCAACAACCGCATGGTGAGCCAGCTCTGTTCACCTTTCCACCTAAACTTTAGCAGGCAAGAGCGAGAGCTGGCTGCAGACAGAGCTGTATTGTCCCCACTGCCAATATGGAGACACTCGCTGAGCTTTTCAGAGAGGAAACAACAACGAACAGAGTCTGACTGCTGTAGGGCTAAGGATCTCTGCTTTGCTTTGCCTAGTGCCGGGCAGGAAGCACCGAGCTGTGCGAGGGAGCTTCTGGCATTAGCAGGAACTGTCGGTGGCAACACACTGAGGCGAAAAAGTTACTGAAGAGTAAAGGAGCCAGAGGGAAGAAGAGAGCAGGGCTGGCTGCTAGTGCAGTCTTTCCAGAACAATTTGTGCCAGGTCTACCAACCTGGAGTCAAAGATAGGGCTTAGATCATTGGAAACCTCACGTGCTCTTCTGCAACAATAACGACTACAGGACCAGGAGGTTCTGGAGATGGAGAAATAGTTGAAGCTATTGGACCTGAGATAAAAGGCTCTCTTCTGAATCTATCATGAAATAGATCTGTGTCTGGTATGAAATGATTCTTCTTATAGCTCAGAAGAGCGTGCTGTCTCTTCAGAGCCAGTAGAAATGTCTAGAAAGAGGAATACTTTCTGCCATGATTGAAGAATAAAATTAGAAAAGGACTTTCTCACGTACTCCAACTTGAAACTGGGCTAAGCCTCATATTGTATATATGGTTCTTGCTCTCCACCAGAAGCAGCAGTTCAGCTGGGAAACGCATTGCGCTACCCAGATGAGTCAGTGTAAACTGCTGAAATTATCCTCTTCACAGTAACTACCTGGGAAAAACTGGAGAGAATCATGGCAAAGCACTACTGGAACCATAGCAAGCGTTACTACATATGCCGTCTTACAAGTTGGCACACAGGGATGGGGGAAAATTCTCCTGCTGCTCTTTTACACTTGGCCCAGCTTCTGTTCTTTGAGGGCATCCGTAACTTGTCAAACAGGAGGCTTTACAGGATAGCCATCCCTGGCACTTCAGTCCCACTCTCGTGGAAGAGAAACTGACATCTGCTTGAACTTCCAAGCACTGCCCTCACCCCGTTTCACCTTCTTCACGCAGGCACTGTTGGAGCTCTTTAGTTCTGGTTCAGTACTGCTAAATATACCTGCGTAAAACTGGGATTGTTTATTCATGTGCATACACAGCTTCTAATACCTTGAGAATTAGTGTCTCCCATAACCCCAAGCACTTTGTACTTCTGCAGTGGACTGGTTGGCCCAGCTCCTTCCCAAGCACAGTAACAGCTGCCTAGTAAAGAACGCCTTCGTAATTTCAAGGCAGAGATCATCAGGGCTGCACGCACACACACATACATATATATATATTCCCCCCCCCCCATACCTAATTTTTAAAATATGTTATTATGTAATTCATTTTCTCTTTAACAGGTGTATTAATATCACAGTCACATAAAATTCAAATATGGTGGTGCTCAAACTGAAAAAGATGTTGAAAGGACAAATGCAGTTAGTGTAGGCGACATACACGGAACTTAAAATATATAATGTGCCTTTTGCATGTGTCATCAAGCTTTCTCCCTCCCTAAATTAACAAGAAATGTTCCTCACTCCTGTGCAGTACAGTTAACTAATACATCTTTGCAGAACTGACACTAACAGATAAAATCTTTGGGACACTTTTGGGAACATACTGTGCCATTTTCTATTAAATACACTACTCAAACTGAAATTCTAAAAGTGAGCACGACATGTCAAAATTTGATGTCATAAAACATATCTGAAAGCAACCCAAAACCTATGAAAGACTGCAGTCACTATGTGACATTATTGGCTAGCTCTAAAGCAAGGTAGAAATCTTTTCTCTTTCTAGATTTCACGATAAAATTTAGCTTAGGCCTATTCGCTGGGACTCCTTTCTCATATACCCCAAATTGTCTATTTAGAAACCACTCCATTGTATCCTAGAGAAACATAAAAGCACTTTCTTTGGGAAATTTAAAAAACTTGCCATGTCCTTTCCTAGCATGATTGCTGTTTTAAAATGATGTCCCGTCTTCTAAAAGTTGTCCTGTATGAACACTGCCAACCTGTAGTAATCCTTAATCAAATCGCCATAGTCTGGCTTTTCTCTTATATTTTCCTTTTCTTGCACTGGATGACAGGTGTAGCAAGAATGGCACCTACCACATCTTTCTGCATGAGTCTGAACGAGAACCACTTCCAGGTCCTCCCTATAACCTAGGTCAAACAAAGGTTATTCGGACCCTTTTTGCTTCAGTAAGGATCAGGATGTTCATATGTAAAAGGCAGGTACGTATTTTTCTGCTCCCCAGCTCCCTTTCCCTCTTCTCCTCCCCTGCAGAACATCCTGCTGCATGACGCTTTCTCCTAAGTGTGCTCCTGCCTCTAACTTGCCTCCTGCTTTGAGAGAGCCCGGTATTCCCTTTTCTCCGAGAGGCACATATCCAGCTCCCATAGCCCTTCTGCTCCCACCCAGCCATCTCTCTCTCAGGCAACCATATCCTTTTTCCTCTTCCCCTTGCTGACCTCGATTTCTTGTCTCTTCTTTTTTCCAAATAGGTCTCCAGGCTGTCCTGCAGCTAACAGCAGAGGAGCCGAGAGCACCATCAGAGGGGTCCCGTGTCCCCTGAGAGCTAACGAGCGACTACCATTTGGGAGATGCTGCTATTCAGGCTGTTCGAGTATGAGCAGCTCTGAGCAAAAGCATTATTATCTGCAGTCGGTGCCTTTCAAAAACCTGCATTCCAGGGGTTAAGGCCACACAATATGAACACCACTACTCTCCTAATAGTAGTCCTGCTTTCTTCAAAATGTTTTCATTCAGCCCTCTGTCCTACGTGTGGTTTGGGTTAGTGAGATGCAGATGGACACTCAGGAGCCAACTTCTGATTGTTAAACTCCAGCTCTGAGCAGCAGCATCCAAATAGAAGGCTTCTGATGTAAAAGAAACTGCAAAACCTCTGACCTGCTACCCACCTCACTGAACAAAAACACACAGGACACTTCAACTCACATGCTAGGATTAAAACGAAGCCAGTGTTTTTGAGTCTTACCTTTGTTCATCCATGTGTGAGCAGTATAGTGACGCTCGTCGTGTGAGAATGTACTGATTCCATGTAATTGCTGAAGCATTGCCCGTCTGGAAATGTAACCTACTGCCACAAAATCGCATGCATTGCAAAAGGACAAGAACAATTGAGCCAACCGTCATCATGACATTTATACGAAAGCAGCCCTGAGCAGTTACTGTCCTAGCTCTTTTCTTGCACGATAGAGCTGTCCCGCTGCAGTGCACTGGTGTCTAGGAGAAGATTTAATTTAGGGTTTGGGGAGTTTCTGAGAATTTAAAAAGATAATTTGAGTAAATGATTCCATGTATTTCAACTGTCATCTTTACAAAGCACTTGCAGAGATTTTTTTTTAACTTCAGTTTTATTTCCACTGGCAAAAAAAAAAGGAATTTCCTTACTTTCCCGTGGAATTTAAAAAATAATAATAATAAAAAAAAAAGCAGGGAGGATCCTAATGAAAATATTTATGCCACTGACTTGTGCATCCTCAGGGGAATGTTCTGACTTCTCTATTCTCAACTGCAGAAAAGGCTTTGTAAGGGGAACACATCCTCATTTCTCTTCCAAGAAATTGTCATTGTGATTATTCTAAAATAATGGATTTAGCACTAACACAGAAGCATAAAGTAATTTTCTTCTTGAAGTTAGGAATCGTTAAAGTAAAAGTATCACTTGTTATGAGGAATGAAAGAAAACTCCCAGTGACAAAGCTCAGCATTTTCACTGCAAATGTTTACATTCATTACTGGAGAGTTTTGCAATTGACTGTTGTCTTGGATGCTATTTATAGGACCTTTCCTCCTTTTAACATACCGAGCAATTGACCTGCTTATAAAACATATACAAAAATCGACTTTTTTGATATGGAAATAGCTATATTCTAGAAACAAAGTTAAATGGTTTATATTCTCCTCACTTGGAGGTTTCTAAATTTTTTAATCCCAAATATCAGACCTAACAGAAATTAACACAACTACTAAAACATTTGCCAGTTTAAGGATCATAATCTTAAAATTTTAAGAGAAATCTGTCACTTTTAAAATTATATAGTTCGGAAAGCATGCAAAGCTCTGAATGCCAGTGTAAACATACAGTAGAGGAATTATACTTCAGACATGAATTTGCACACAGTAACGTCATAGAGACACAGAGACAGAACCGTATTACTGATGGCAATGCTTCAGCAACACAGAGGAGAACGGGGCAGGAAGTAACGCTGCAAGGCTGTCACACATTTAAGAACATCGCACGTTTACTTGGCTAAAAACATCTTCAAACGCATTTTAATAGCGCCACTCTAAA